GCTGACATAATGCCCGCATTAACCGACAAAACCGACAGCGAAAAATGGCAAATATTTGCGGCGCAAAGTACTCGCACTCGTGTGGCAAACGGGGAACCGAATTCGGGAAACAGAAAACATCACTAAAAGAAGCAAACCCAAATAAGCTGAGCAAGAAAAAACAAAACTGAGAACGAAATGCTGTTCTATATTAAGCGTGGGTGGGCGGCGTGGCGTACGAGTGGGCGTGGCACTGGCGAACACTGAATTTGTGCGCTGAATGGAAATATTGCACAATTTTATCTTTATTGCTCGCAATGCCGAATCTGTTGGGATAGTCCCTTGAACAAAGAGCTGAATTCTACAGAGACAGATTTATGCACTGCTCGAATGTCGTCAATCTTAAATAATGTGAGAAGTCTTGGTTTTGGCTAGATCTTTCTGATAATTGATTATAGCTATGGAAAAAGTATATAAAAAATGTTTTCAAGTGGGCAGTAAAAAAGCCTTTTAAATAGGTATTAAAATAAAGGAATATGTTAACACAAATTATTCATTGCCACCATTCTAAAGTTTATCAAATGAAAACCCTAAGGAATAATAAATAAAATACATAGATAGGGTTACAAAACTGTCTCATTATTTTGTTCTGTGTAGTTTGGGTTATCATTTCCCCACACAATTGTTGCGGAGGCTCATCTCTATATCGATTGAACATTTTGATTGATTGATTACCGCATATTTTTTGGTCAGCCGCTGCACCATTAGCCTTTTGTCTCGCCCAGTGACAAATTCGTTCAATTTCCCGCCCATTTATTATACCGCTTCCCCTTCCGGCTTTCCGCAAAAGAGGAAAAACGCTCGTCAAGATGCCAGCGTTTTCTATTGGCAATGACCCAGACCCCGAATAGGTTGTCTGCCACTTGAGAAATTCCCTTAGCCATTCAATTTTTTGGCATTGCGTGAAAATTGCTTGAAATTGCGAGCTCATCGATAAACTCGAGTGGCTAATATGAGATATCGGAGCTGCTCAAAAATAAAAAGACTCTCAAGTGCTTCGTCCGCCGTCAAGTATTCGTTTATGGAGGAGTGCTAAATAGGAGGTGGAACGGCGCGATCAATAACGTAATTCAATTTCAATTGTACGTGAGCAACAACAAAATGCATTTAAATTTCTCAGCAAATTGAATTAAGTTTGCGATTCGGGATGGTAGCTCGACCTTTTCTCGAATTAAATCATAAATTATTTCCGTCAAATGCAAAACAAATGAATGTGGGTCGAAGGGACGACGGAGGGAAACAGAAACGTGCACAATTTTAAGCTGTACAATTTTAAGCTCTTTTCATTTCGGGCCGCTAAATGAATTTCCCGTGGCAGCCCTGAAATGAAATTAAGCCTGCGTGTCCAGCGTCCAATGACCCACGTTTTTCACAGCGTACCAAACACATTGAGTATTATAGAGTTTCCAGTGTTCCATCATTTTCAATAAAAAAAAGAAATAAAAAAGTTGGAGTTCCATTATTAAAACATCGTATTGTGTGAAACATCAAAAAAATTATCATTATCTAGCAAGAACCAGCTTAATGAGAAATAAAATAAAAATATCTATACAGCATTTAATTAAAGTATATCTGATACTTGGGTTAAGTAACGAAATACGGTAATGCAATTTTCTCTTTTGTTTAAAGCTTAATCAGTATTCAATGAAAAGAAATGAAATGGTTTTTGTGCAGTATAAACCGCAAAAACAGTCAGTTTCATATAAATATAAAAAGTTTCTACCAAACATATATATTTTGTGGCATATGAATTTATTAATAAAATAAATGTGAAAATGTATAGAGTAGTCTTGAGTCTAGTTTATTTCCGAATACTGTCATGTGCTGGATCGTTATTTTCCGGGTTCTTTATAAACATCACATTTTTCCGTCAGCCCATGCAATTAGCAAACAATGCAGGACTGAAAATTCGAGCTTAACGCGTAATATCCATTACGGTCATAATGTGAAAAGTAGGACGAAAAGAGGAAGGGGGAGGGGGAGAGGGAGGGGGAGGGAAAGGGAATGGCGAAGTAAACCCTTTTCCCAATGCGAGAAGCCACAGGAAGGAGAAAGAGAGGTAGGAAAGGAAGGATATTCTGCTCCTGGGTTCGCTGGCTTGCTCATGCATATGAGCATATGTCGGAAATTGTAACGATTACATGCCGGACACACACATACATACACACACACATGTAAACACGCACACACGCAGGATAAGGCGGAGCCACCCACCCACTTAACATCCAACCGCCCACAGATGATCGCCATTGATTGCTTACATCTCGGGTTGCGTGAAAAGTGTAGCATACATTACAGAGCAAATTTGTTTTTCCTTTCACATATTTCCATAATAATTACCCCATGGAAATGACCCCTTAATGTCCATCGGACAATGATTTAATGCAATTTTAATTAAAATAAATACGTCAAGTGCTGCCGGAATCAATCGCCGGCCGAGTCATGTAATTGAACCTGAAATAAGTCATTAAAAGTTTGTTTGCAATGACTTTTGCAGTTGCACTTGCCACTTGGCACTGGGCAAATCCGTGGAAAATGTTGAGAAAGACGTTGACGACGTTGGCGCAGCTCATTATAAATTTGTTGATGCTGCATATCTTGGGCTGCAGGATGGTTGGATGGCAGGATGGTTGGATAGTTGGATAGTTGGATAGCAGGATGGAAGGATGGCAGGATGTGCTGCGCTCGCTTCCTTTCAGCCATCGAAGCAGAAGCTCAGAAGCTTCTTTCCCTTTTGGCTTGTGCATATCAGCAGCTTTTTATGCTTACCGCAGCTTGGGAAACGAGGGCGGAACTTCTTTTCACCCCTCAAAGCCCCGCCCCTCCCACTTTTTTCCCCTACTGCCAGCTGGTGCTGCCTCAACACATTTCATTTTCATCTTTGCTCCCGGCAGCCGCAGGGAACTTGTCTAAAAATCACGCATAATTTATTTACCATAAACAAGATGAGGAACAAGAAAAGCCGACGATGGCCGCCTGTCAACTGGAGTGGGAAATTGGGAGAAAGAGATAGAGGGAGAGATAGCAGTACCTCTGCCAGTAAGGGATAGCAATAAGGGCTGACAGAGACCTCCTGCTGAAAAGTATGGCTTGGCATTTTGGATGCCAGCCCAGATTGCAATAAAAACATCAAAAATGCAACAATGCAGCAGCAGCAGCAGGAGGAAAATGGAAAAAGAGGGACAGCTCGGCAAGGACAAGCAATCAGCTGAAAAAACCAGAGAAAATAAACAAACTAAACACGATTGAAGCTGCTGCAGTGCAATAAAAATCGCTTTATCTTCATTAAGTCGAGCAAGATATCGTTGCAAAAAAAAAAAACGAAAAAAATAACACACACTCTTACACCGAAGACAAACAAGCAAGTATAAGAGGGAAAGAGAGAGCACGAGCTACCGCATTGAATAATAAATGCAACGAAAATAAAAATAAGAGCTCCTCTGTGCAGGAGGAAAAGTGGAGAAAGCCGAAAGGAGAAAGAGATGGAGGAGAAAGCGGCGTGGGCGTATAAAGTACATGAAGCAGGGATAAATGGTAGAATCATGTACACGTACAAGTAAACCCACACACACACCAACACACACATACACTCACACAGACTTACATACATAGACGTCAAGGATAAAGGTAGCCGGATGGCAGGTGAAGGGCTGAAAGTGGATACCACATGCATTGTTGTCACTGTGTGGGTGTGTGTGTGTGTGTATCTGTGTGCCGCTTCAACTCCAAGTCCTCCAAGGACTCTCCCTGACCCCTCGCAACCCCCGAAAACCCCCTCCCCTTCCCCCTTTTGGCTCAAACACAAACGAAACGAAGCGTTGCGAAATTATTGCAGCGAGCTGCGAAGCGAAAAGCCAGTTCTTAACTGGAATCCACTGGTCACAGCGGCAACTTCCTGGCCAAATTACATTTGGGCTTAATGATCAGGCGTACCGAATTGAAACCCACTCAAAGGCCATCATTGTAATCTGTAATTTGAGCATTCACCTTCGATGATTACAAGTGGATTTGCTTAAGTAATATAATACAGACTTCAAGAGTTCAAATATTACAAGCAAAGCAAATTTATAGTGTCAATAAAATTAATCGAATTACATCCTTGCTTGATTAGTAAATGAGCGGGAAGCCGAATTGAATGCAATTTAATTGATAATTAATTGATTTTTTAGTTAGTTGATAAAAATGAATTTGGAAAAGATTACTTGACAATTTTGGTAAAAAAAACACTATATTTTGAATGGTTTAGACAACTTTCTATCTATTTTGAATAATATTCCGTTTTTTCCTTCTCTTCTACTTACTTTCCATACTTATCTACTTTTTGATACCTTGTTTTTTTATGAAGCTATTTAGTATGCAGTTTTTCCCCGTGCACTCTTAAAATCTCAATTTTTCATAGCATTTTTGAAGCAACCATTACTTTTCTATGCATAATTATTCACCATTCAGCTCTCAGCGGCGAGCATTAAAATCAAACCCGATTTCAGTTAGCCTCCTTGCCTGGCAGCCTTTTAATATTCCTTGCAGGCACTCGCAGGTTTCCGCTTGATGACGCCGACGATGATACGGATTCCTCATGGGAACGGGATTGGATGTGAATGAGGGGATTGAAGGGGCGGGAAGGGAGGCAAAAGGGTCTCCTACCTGCGGGTGATTGTTCTATGCAAATAGTATGAACCGCTGGCTGCCCGGGAGGTTGGGTGGTAAATTGTGAAGTGGTTACAATGCATTTTTATGTGCAAGAGCGCGCGCTAAAAATTTATTGAAAACGAGCTGGAATATTTGCATGAATGAAGATGAACAGAGAGGCGATGCCCCAGATGCTGCAGGTGTGCAGCCAATCAAAAATACCTTCCCCCATAAGCTCCTACCCACCACCACATCCTTAAATTCAGAACCATTTTTATTGACTTTTTTAAGAGCTGCAAAACTGACTCAAGGCAATCTCCGATTTCTTGCAGGCGAAAAGGATACAGAGCAATGAGCTGGCCGCCATCAAGGTGATCAAGCTGGAGCCCTCCGACGATATACAGATCATTCAGCAGGAGATCATCATGATGAGGGACTGCCGCCACCCGAACATCATCGCCTACTATGGTTCGTACCTGCGACGGGATAAACTCTGGATCTGCATGGAGTTCTGTGGCGGTGGCAGTTTGCAGGACATCTACCAGGTGACTGGTCCCCTCACCGAAGTCCAGATAGCGTACATGTGCCGGGAAACCCTCAAAGGACTCGAGTACCTGCACTCCATGGGCAAAATGCATCGGGACATCAAGGGTGCGAACATCCTGTTGACTGAGTACGGCGATGTCAAGCTGGCGGACTTTGGAGTTTCAGCGCAGATCACGGCCACAATCAACAAGCGCAAGAGCTTTATAGGTAAGTGAATTAAAAAATATAGAAACAAATACTGAAGGGTAAAGAGATTCTACCCAATATATGCACAAAAATAATTATTATTGTTTTCCTACGAGAATCCTTTTATTGGAATGAAGCAACATAGTATCAAAGCTTTACCAGATTAATTTTCACAACCAAGTAAACATTGCTAAATGCCTTTTCAGCATTTTTTCTAAGCAGCATAGACACCACTGCGAAATCGCTCAACATCAAGGACACTCGCCGACGAAGTCAGAGTTCGAGTTCGAGTTCGAGTGGCAGCCTTGGGAAAGTTGTGGGCGGTGCGGTGCGAGGTGTGCTGTCACACAAAGTGTTTATCATTATGAGATTCTGTTTCTGTTTTGTGTGCACACCGAAGCGTCAAAGCAGAAAAATATGAGTAGAGTGTTCTGACAGCGGCAACAATTGCGTTTAACGCTTCTAAATGCTCCTCAAAGCGAACGAACAGCTGTCAGAAATGACAAAGCACAAATAACCCAAAATAACACAAAAAGGAAACATGAAAATTAAGAAGGGACTGGAAAATCAAGTATACGTCCGAGTGGTTCCAAGTCGAACCGTTTTGAAATGGTCAAAAGCCTGAATGGAGTCTCCAATTGAATGCAATTCAATTAGGAGTAGCATTATAATGGCTCCTGCAAGGAATTCTCAAATATAATCAAAAAACGATGGCGGTTCCAAAGGGAACAATTCAATTTGCAGAATATTTCAAATGCAGGCGAGGTACAAAAAAATACCAGCAGCGGGGAAAGAATTGGACAAAAGTAGCCGACCAGCAGGTGGCCAGTCTGGTTCCTTTGTTTGCCATCCTTCTGGGAAATGGATGGGAGTTTCCACCTCCCTTTGTTGTCGTCTGAAAACCGAAGCACAAAAGCAAATAATTTTTTGAAAAATGTCCCAATTGGAGAGTCGTCGTTGTCGTCGTCTTCAGTTTGGTGGCTACTTCTTTTGTGGGCTGTTCGGCTTTCCCAGTCCTATTTAACCTTTACCGCCCTCCACTTCAGCTGCTTATTTTTGTCACTAATAGATTTCAGCTTCTCCTGCTTCCTTTTAGGCTTTTCTGCTGCAATGAGCAGCGGTAAGCTGCTTTCCAAATCGCAGCAAAGGAAATCTCGTAAAAATCTGGGAACAAAAAGAACCCACAAATTTCTTCATTGAAAAATTATAGCAGAATTTTGAGGAATTCCGAAAGTAACATGGTTGTATAAAGTTCTAAAAGATATGTAAACTGCTTTTTTAAGCTGAGATTCTCACCCCGTATTTCAAGGCTTGTTTAAAATTCCCGCCTGGGGCTTTAAGCTGATGATGCCGGGGCAACGTGCAGTATACGCAATTTGAATGTAAATAGCAACTTATCAGTCACAGGCCATGTGCGGTAAAAAAATAAAGGATCCCTGCAAGAGGGTGTAGTTTGTCATGACAACTTGCAATCTTGCGACGAGCAGACGAAGCTGCGATGATGATTTGCATGAGCAAACATTTTTTCCGTCGTCATCTCATCGCAGGGACTTTCAACTTTGAAGACTTTGCAAATGAGATTTTGCGGTTACGCGGACCACCAGTTAAAACCCTTAGAAGTTCCACACAAAAACCCACAGGCCCCGCTGTCCGCTCACAATTAATTATTTCAAATGCCTGGCTCTGCACTTAATTAAAATTCTCACAACCCTTCATTGGGCCGTTGACACTCGCCAGCTAATTAAGTTATGACAGCTGGCTCTTCACTCTTCGCCTCCTTAATTTGGCCAAAGAAAGGCGAAGGCGGAGCTTAGAGAGTCCTGGCGCTAATAAAAACCTAAAACCAAGTTAAAGTTCATGACGTTTACAGTGAATAGCGGAGAGTGGCACATAAAAACCGGCAACTGATTTGATTTCATTTACGCCAAATTGGATTTATCCCACTCCGACTAAGCAGTTTAATTTTTAATACCGTCTTTTGTCCTTTGCGTTTGTCGTAAAAGCGCAAAGCTGTCATAAAGCAAGCTCGTAGCGCTAATTTGATTTAAGATTTATTTGAATGGGCAAGAAGGAGTCAGTGTGTGTGTGTGGGTGTTTATGTGTGTGTGATTAATGTGCTGCAATTTGTGCAGCGAAAAATAGTAAAACAAAATAGCAAAACTAAGGGTTTGTAGACAACTCCAAGTTGAACGACCTTGAGGTTGCTCTGCCCTTTGTTTCGCCCTGTTCTTTGTTGCCACTTTTGGCTGCATTTTCATGACGTTTTCGGGCTGAGCGAGCATCTTTTGTGGCATGTCAATGTGGCGGAGTGTAGTGTGCAGCGGCAGTGGCACTGACAGGGCGTCGAGGGGATTGACGGGAGGCCTTCTGGGTGGTTGGATAGTCTGGGATCTCCCCACTGTATCCCCATGTTTGTGGGGAGTTGTCAAACAATGTGACGTCCGCTTACTGTTATCACTCCAAGTGCTCTTCGCTCCAGCCTCCGTTTGCCATTGTTGTGTTTGTTGCGACTTCTGTGACAAATGTGGTGATAAGTACACACACACCGACACACACCGACACACACAGACACACACATTTTTATCCATCTATCCTGAACGTCTGCATAGGAGCTCGAGGTCAACCACGGGTCGTTTGTACCTCATGCATACTCGAATGTACATGAGTCAATTGCTGAGTTTTCATCGATTGCCGGAATGACGGCGAATCTTCTTCTGATCCCAGATATGTCATTTGTTTGTGGTTGGTTGCATATTTTCAGGCGAAGTTAAATCGCACACTGAAAAAAAAATCCTTCTAAAAAAGGATAATTTTTTGCTCGATTATAATATGTTGTATAATTTGTACGGTGCTCAAAAATTTTTTTTAAATGTTTTTTTTTTTAACAGTAGAATAATTAAATATAAGAGAGTTTGCTATTATTATTTTTTTTGAGCTCCCGTAATTCTAAACTAACAAAATATTTTATTAACTTACGTTGGGTAAAAAGAAAAACTAAGAGCCAAATTTAAATTTTCTTTGGCTGATTTTTGAGTTTCTCCATTTTTAAAGTACTTAAAAGTAGCTGCGTCATTCTCAATGAATGGAAAAAAGACCTGACTCTTTAAAATAAAATACTGCTAAATCACTCCATTTAATTTTTTTACATAATATGCTAAGCCGAAATGCTTGCTTAACATTCCTTAACTCTTAAGTTTGAAGGCTTTAAATTGTTACCTTCTTCGTGAGTCGGTCCGTTCTGTCGCTCGTTTTTTGAGGAGTCTTGTTCAAGGAATGAATAATTTAGCTGCTTACAATCCTAAATGTTCTAACCCGAATGCTACTGATCCCTCTAATCATGAAGTTTATTTATATTACCCTTGATATCTCGGGTGATAGTATTTCTCAGTGAGTTTTTGTCCTTGAAGCCCAGAAAAACAAAGCTCAATGCCAGCAACAAAGACGGAAAAGAAGGAGTCTGGGGGAAATGCGAGAGCCAGAGGTTCCGGGGTGGCGACAGACTGACGCTTTTATTATTCAATAAAAAGGTGCTTACGTTTGTGTTTAGTGTCATTAACAAGTCAATGGCAACACACGATGAGCAGAAGCTTCCACCTCGCTGGCTTTGAGCCGTACCGCCCACTCACTCCGCCCCGCCCACAATCCACATTTGGCTCATTCAGCCGCAGTTATGCCATAAAGATGAATTTGCGTATGCGAATGCGAATGAGTGTGCGCGTGCGGGATGTCCTTAATGTTTCCCAGTCGGCGAGTTGACGGAAATGCGTCTTGGCATTAAATAGATGCAACCTAAAAGCCTGCCTGCCATCGTTTTTTTCCAGCATTTGCCATTTAATTCCGCCGGCTGTCTTCTTTAATTCCAGTGTTCTCTTTTCTTTTTTTGTGCTCTGCTCCTTTTTTTCAGCAATTAACAAAATGATACTTGACTGGCTGTTGCTGCTGTCACTTTGTGGATGAAATTGCTTTCCCCCCATCCGTTCGTTTCTCTGTGTGTTATATCAGTTTCCCTGTTTGTGCACTTGTTTGTGTTGCCCTTTAATTAAAATGCATGCGAAAGTTCAGGGAATTCGCATTGCTCCGGTGCTTTCAATTCAGCCTCCGTTCCGCATCAGTTTGCCGGATCGAAGCTCAAACAAGAGCGGAAACAATGATGAGGAGGTGGCCCCCGGGGCGAGACCGAAAAACCAGTAACTTAAACTTGGCCGACGTATCAAAGAGCCCGCCCGGCATCAAAACCTGATTTTCCACCTTCGTTGTGGTTTAATTAAATTGAAAATACAATTAACTGCCACGACGACGACTTCTCTTCTCCACTTGTCAAGTGAGAGGAAAATTAATTTTCTCCGGGCGCCATCCATCCAGGGAAACTACTCTAGCAGATGCCGTAACTATGCCGTAGCTTGGGCTGCTGTTGCTGGCGCGGCAAAATTGTTGCCTCGTTGCAACATGGCGTATGAGTAATGGACGCATTAGCCTCACTCCACTCCTTGCGACGGTCATAAAACGTGCGCCCAAAATGAAGCGCAAAATGTGTCGCAAATGCCTTTGCCACTCCCCCGGATTTGATTACCTTTTCTCTGCATAATTCAGCAATTTGTTTATTTGCACAATTGTCACATTGACGCGTAAAAAACGCTAATTAAATTAAAAAACATCGCTTGCCGGGCGAATGAATAAATGACAACCAACATAATCGGCAGCAATGAAATTAAATGTGTGAATGTTGCATAATTAGCTGGGTCAGCAACTAAAAAAATCCGGTTATTGATAGCCGGGATATTCATTAAATCAGTCAATAAGCTGTTTCTCCTTTTTATTCCATCCATTTTAGGCACGCCATATTGGATGGCACCCGAAGTGGCGGCCGTGGAGCGAAAGGGTGGCTATAACCAGCTATGTGATATTTGGGCCTGTGGCATAACCGCAATTGGTAAGTCCTCCATTTAAATACTATTTAACTAAAACCTTCCTGAACAAATAATATTTAATTGCACGAAATTTCTATAATTTTCATGAAATTTAATATTATTTAAGTAGCTTTACATATTCGAATTTCATTTTCTAATTTACAATAAATCAACAATTAATAATGCAGTTTTGGCTCCTTGCTTGCTCGGCAATAAATAACTCAAAGAAAACTTAAAGTACAATTTTCATCATCCAATAAAATAAATCATAAATCATGCATTAACCCAATTTATAAATCATGTGAACGGAATTCAATGTATTTATAAATTGATTTTATCTCAAGCCTCAGGAAGTTTCATTTATATATGTACATCGTATTATGTTTTCCCGTCATAATTTGATTAAGACAATAATGTAAATACTTTTTAGTTAGTTTGATGCAAAGATTTGTCCTTACTTATTGTAGTTTGTTTGTAACCACAATGAGATTAACGATTACTAATTCCTTATTTGTTCTACTATCAAATACAGAGCTCGCTGAGCTGCAGCCACCGATGTTCGATCTGCACCCGATGCGGGCCCTCTTCCTGATGTCGAAGAGCGGCTTCAAGCCGCCGACACTGAACAACAAGGACAAGTGGAGCCCCACGTTCCACAACTTCATAAAGACGGCGCTGACGAAGAACCCAAAGAAACGACCCACCGCGGAGCGCCTGCTGCAGCATCCCTTCGTCCAGTGCGAGATGTCCTTGCGGGTGGCCAAGGAGCTGCTGCAGAAGTACCAGAGTCCCAACCCGCAGTTCTACTACTATCTCGATGGCGATGAGGAGGTGAGTGGCCGCACTTTTTCCTCCCCCGTTGAGGTAATGGGGTCAGATAAGTGTGTGGGGATGGCAGGCAGGCAGGCAAGCAGCCACTTGGCACCTTTTGCGTAATTTATTTACGCTTTTAAAGAAGACAGCAAGGCCAACAGGAGAAACTTTTCTCAAGCCAAAGCTAAAGCTCTCGGGGAAAACATTTCCGCTCCGGTGCGTTGCAGGATTGGTCAACAATTTAGTGCGCCATTAGGCACTTTTGGGTTGGTTGGTTGCCTTAAGGCTAAGTCCTCTAGGGCGACCTAATTAATTGCCCGCCAAAGTCGGTCGAACTAATGCAGCTGTCTAGACAACCGGGCTTATTTAACGACATTTGCAAATACGAAATCAAATTTCAATTTAATAGGCTTTGCAGCAGGGACAGCAATTTTAAAGAGACTTTCATGGGCAAACGGATGCTGTCAAGTCATAAATCTTCAATTTGTTTGGATATTTTGCAAACTTTTGGCAGCCGGTGGCAAATAAGTTTCCCTGCTTACTTTCCTAGCCGTAGATATTCAAATTTTACTTAACTTGCTTTCTTCTCTTGCGAAAATAACGCATCACGCTCAAAAATCCCAATATGATTTTGATTTATGAGATTTTATCGCAGTCGGAAACTTTGTCACCGACTGAGTGACGATGGTGGGGGAGTTCTTACCCGCCCTCAAACTGGGTTTAAAAGTTTCCTGTTTTCTCTTCTTTTTTCCAGTCTGTGGCCAGTGTGCCACAGCGCATTGCCAGCAAAATGACGTCACGCACCAATGGCGTGCCAGCGCAAAATCACACACTAAAAACAGGTGAGTTTGGATGATTAATAAGTTGAATGCAGCAAACAGACATTTAACAATTCATTTTGATTTTGTACAATTTTTGTATATTTATTCCTGATTTATTAATATTTTTATAAATTATCTTATTTAGAGCTAAGCATACTTACATTAATAGTTATTATTATAAATCTTTTTTGAAAAGATTTTATGTTGTCTAAAGCCATACACAATAATATTGAATACTAAATTCGGTAACCACACCATTTCGCAATAAAAATATCTATCAAATATCTATTTCTCTGCTTTTAAAACAACTTTGTATATGATATCTAAATATTGTTGTAGGTATAATATTTTTATAATCCCCATTTTCTTTTTTTCCCAAGGAATGACGACGAACTCGACGTGGAACGAGCGATCTTCTAGTCCCGAGACGTTACCCAGCGACATGTAAGTGCAGTCGAACCTTTTCCTAACGCTTTCCTCTGCGGTTTGCCTGGACCTATGCTACAGTTTTGTCTATGGTTTTTCTTACTTGCGGGACGGATTAACTCCGCTTCAGTTTTGGTACTTCGGTTTCAGTTCTCACACTATCACACACACACAAACAAACACAAAGACACTCCACTATGTACACACACTTGTAAACTAAATGCAGCCCGCGGATTCACCAGCTTGAAAATCACCCAGCATCATTTTGGGAAAATTTCCCACAGGGAAAGAGGGGGTTCGGTAAAAATGCATCAGCCATTGGTCAAAACCATTAGATAAACAGTTTTACAGCCACTTTTCCGTTTTTCTCTATCTTTATATATTTTTAGTCCCAGCGCCGAGCGATCGAAACCGAAATTGAGCGGCACCCTGATTATGAACATGTCTTTAAGGTTAGCCAAAAGTGGGCCATAATCCAGATGGCAACCGAATTGCATTGCATGTTGCGCTTTTTATGCTGTCCAAAAAAAATTCTTAAGGCCGCAGCACGCGCGCTGTGTAATTTGCTCAAAACTTTAGACTTGTGCAGAAGCAGAGTCAATTTTTTTTTTAGCTGCACGTTTTCCGGGAGCTGGCTGTGTGTATGTTTACTTTTGTATTTCGCTGCATTTTCAGTGTGTACGAGTATGTGTATGGCTGCTATACACGCTTGCGCTGCTTAGTTGCCGCTACGTGTTCGCCCCGGCAACTTGTGAATTTTTCATCCACTCCACGGACGAGTGCGAGTCCCATTCCCAGTTGAGCCCTATTCCCAGTTTCGTTCTCGGATGTATAATTGCAACCTGGCTTGCATGATTCCCTTGGCGGGCTTCAAAACTTGTGGGCTATTTAATTGCCAGCCAGAAGTAATTACGTCAGGGCGGGAGGGCCGCCGACCAAGTGTGCTGCAACATAATAATAATAAGCAGCTTCAGTTCCCGGATTACAGCGGCTCGGAAAACACAAAACTCGCAAGAAAGGCAATGAAGAATTGGGTCTGCAAGAACAACAACTAAAGTAGCAGCAGCAGCAGGAGCAGCATCAGGAGATAGGTGGCAGGACTTGAAACTGAGAGTAGTGAGTGGCGGGTTCCATGGGTTCCTTGGGGGTGCAGCAGGAAAAGTTTCCCAAGAAATCAATTAACGCAGCAGCTAACTAGAGCGGGAGCAAAGGATAGATGGATGGCACATCAAGCATACGCCCCGTGGCACGCAACTGCAGATAGAAAATGTTGGCCAAAGTAACGAAGTATCGAAGTAACGAACTAACAAGAACGCAAATTTTCTTAAAATAAAATCAGAGTTTTTTAGAGAAAAGCTGAAAAGTTTTGAAGTTTACTATTCCCTATAAATAATAAGACCAAAAAAGGTTTTGGTTTATATGTACTTATAAAGATAAAGTAACAAACAAAGAAGTTAACTTAAAGTATACCTTTATTTTTAAATATGGGAATTTGAAACCATACTTAGGGAATTATATTTAAGTTAAGATTGTGTTGATGTAAATACTTTAAAATTGAATTGAAATTAATAGGAGATACAAAGCAATTATAAGTACTAGGACCAGATTCTTCTCAGTGCAGGCTCTAGATGGGGCGCCATTTGTCATTTTAAATGATTACACATTGTGGGCTGCTGATGGAGGGGATGGCACGTTTAATAAGCTCCTCCAGCGATCGGAGGCGTTGGACGATGATGCCGGGTGGCATGAAAGGCAACACTTTGCGGCAGCCGCCACTCGACTGGCGTCGCAGACAACAAAGCCGAGTCACTTTGTCTATATGCACGCGAGTGCTCCTCCATAACGAGAGGCTCCACATTTCATCCCCAACCAAAGCGAAACGCGCCTCATTCGAATTCTGATGCCCAATTTTATTGAAGCCATAAAAACGGCTGCGCCAATTTCTATGTACTGAGCGCTACTTACAAGCGACTTGCTGGCTAAGTGCCACACCCCCGCCCCCATTGACTACGCCCCCGGCCACGCCCCCACATCCGGTGCTTTGTGGCGCCCGAAAAGTTTCTCCAGAAGCTGCTGGCTCGTCTTACGCCTTTCTCCTTGGGGCCGCTCGACCGTCATGGTTAATTTCATTTAAACCGTCATAAGCAGAAAGTACAACAGGAATTTATTTTCGCTTTTTGTTTACGCTGCCATTGTTTGTTTTTTTTTAATATTTTTTTTTTTGCGGCAAAAACTCTAAGAACAAAAAAAAGGGGGGAAATTATTAATTGCCTAGGCGGGAGGAAAAAGATTAAGATGGGTGAAAAAGCGGCAAGAATGCTACATTTTTTAATATCCCGTTTTATGGGCCGCTTTCCAAGTGGGAAAATGGGCTGCGCCAGATGACATTAGGGAAAATTATGAACATGGCAAATTAGCTGATGCGTTTAATTGGGCGTTAGAATTTTGTGCTGCCTCCAGCTTTTCCACTCAATCCGGAATTTACCCTTCGTAATGGCTTTAAAGTTAAGAGGAAAATAAGTTTAATTTTTAATACCTAAAAAGAGCTGCAGGATTTCGTAATCTGATAAAAACACACACAAAACCCCGTTAACACTCTCTGATATTTAAAAGTATTTAAGATTCTTGATGCTTTAACGATCTGAAAGTAGCTTTAGTTTTCTATTTGGTCTGCCAAATAATTTTTCTAAACTAACTTTGTTACTTTTCCTACTTTTGTATTTTGTTCCCTTTCTTTTTTTTCTTATTACAAACTTAACACAATGAAATTTTCTGTTGATTTTATTTTCCTTTTTTTCCGTATCTTTGTTTTTGTATTTGATTTTTGTAGGAGCCTCTTACAATATATTGATGAGGAGCTGAAGCTAAGGTAACTACACCCACCAATGTATTCCCTTAGAACCGAGCTTTGGCTCTCGGTGTGCCCATCCCTCAAACAACCACCCCTTTTCACATAGATAAGACTGACCCACACTAACCCTATCATAACTCATACTTTACACTGACTAGCACACCCATTTTTACACAGAAAGATAAGAATATTGGTCTTTAAACGAATACCAAGGGATTCGATATTTTAAATTGTGTTTTAACAAGCCACAAAGTTCACACTAAATTCATCTTAAACGGGAAAAGAATACTTTTATTCTTCATGAAAAACATTGAAAGACATGTTCCTCATTCTAGAGCTCACTAAATTTTAATATTTGTTGTTTATTATTAAGTACCTCACTATGTTTTTCTGCATAAAAACTTTTCACTTTGATTTAGTCTTAAGTTCATCTCGCCAAGGGTATATGTTTTTGGTTCCTTTTTGGCCACCTTCTCATATGCATACACACCTGCAAATGAGTGTGTTTAATCCTGGTAGCCGTCAGATACAAAACCAAACCCACACACGCAAACTCATCACCACCGGAGCTGCTGCATCATTATCATTATGAACCAGGAGCGGCAGCTCATCTTGTGGCCACCTTGGTTTATTACCGGCCATCTGCCCTCAACCCATATTCCCAAAACAAAAAAATAGCTACATTTTCATTACGTTTTTTTTCCCCGTTCCGTTCTGCGTCCATTTAAACAATATTAAGTTACGGTTGCTGTTCTTCCTTCGTCTTATAAGTTAGTTCTACTTGTTCCTCGCACGCATTCTTTGTTTGCCCAACTTCTTTTCGGGCGGCCTTTGTTTTGTCGGTTATTGTCTGGGCGAGGCTTTGTTCACTTTTGCCTCTTATTCCGCCTGAACTTCTGCCTTTGTCTATCGATGGACGACCATGGAGGAAATGCCAGGAATTGAGAAACAGAGCAACCGAATAGAAAATAACGAAAGAACGAACGCACGTTGAGCATACGCACCGTGGGACGTCCGAAATGACCCCTTCTTGGATGGCTCAATTATTTGACCGAACGAATGGCAGAAGAACAGCTCTCAGCTCTCCGCTCTCAACTAATTTATACAGTACAATTGGTTTATATTTCTGGGCAGAATTTATACACCGATGGGTCGCCATGAAATGCGCTCGATTTGTCCTTTGCCTTCGGACCCTTTTTCCCATGTTTATTGTTTATTTATTTGATGTGTGTGCAAATGACCGTCACATTGCTTTTATTGTTATTATTATTATTGGCCAGGCTCTAGTGCAAACAAGTAATGCCACACGTAGTCCGCGTGGTCCAGTGTTGATTTGTCCATCTCAGGACCCCGGAATCTCCCCCCAAATCTCCTAAAATATGCAGCATTATTGGCCATCGCAGTGATTGAGGAGATTGTCGGGTGGGGAAATCTTGTGGAGCCTAAGCTCTTTTTGCCCTAGGGCCGGACGATTGAAAAAACACGATGGAAAACAAATTGCAATTATGCTAACATCAACTGAAAATTCACGAAACTAATTCGGAAAATGGGATTCCTTTGGTCAGATTTTCCTCTCACTCCGTTTCCCTTGGCCACCAGCTGCTGAGATTTTCCAACAAATTCTGTTTGTTTTTGCTTTATTCCGCCTCGTTTTATTTGGGCAAAATTGCTCGCATTTTGTTTTTAGAATTAATTTTCCAAGCTTTTTTTCTGCTGCTGCGATTTTTTTTGTTTTGTTCTTTACATTTTTGCTGCTGTTTTTGTTTATTGTTTCTGTTTTTCTTCTCCGGCTCTTTTCTGTTTCTGTGCATTCATGTGCGAGGCAATTTTCTATTCAAGCATTCGGCATTTTCATTTGCGTGTGTGAATGTGTTTGGATGTGTTTTGTGTATCTTTGAGCATTTGTGTTTTGCATCTCATGCATAATTTATGGCCTTATATTAGTTTATTTATTTATTTATAATGCTCGCAATGAAAGAGCAACTAGCAACCCAACCAACTAGGACATCCAGTAAGTGGGCTCAACCGACGGGAGGCGGTGGCAAGTAATTTCATTAAAAGCGTAATCCGCTTAACACTCCACTTTGCCTCGTTTTGCGGTTTCCCGCGGGAGTTTATCAATTCGATTGCATGCTACAAACAAAAAAATAAAGTAAAAACAAAAACACACAACTGGGAGATCTCGACACACTGCATGCCACACACGGCCAGGATGAGTTTGGGGGTCAGTTCCTGCCTCCTCCGCCACACCACGAAACTCGAACCCAAACTCAAACTCAGACACTTCCCAACCAATCACGCTCTCACCCAAAAAAAACCCCCCGATAAAAAAACAAAAACAGAACCGAAAAGCTATATAGCCATATAGTGATTTATCCCCTAACGATCGAAGAAGAAAGCTCAACATCTCGGCTATCTTTTCTCTCTCTCTCTCGCCTCTCTTCTCTTGTTCTCTCACTCGTGATTCCCTCCGCTTGTCTGTGAAACGCTCTGCAGAGCGACCTTGCCACTGAACAACGACACCAAAGATCCACTCGCCGCCGAGTGCAGTTGCGCCTCCCACAATGGAGGAGGGGCCACCGGGGGAGGAGGAGGAGGTGGAGGAGTGTCAGGCGTTGCAGGCGGGGCAGCCGCGAACGGCAGCAGCAGCAGTGGCAGCAACAGCGGCAGCGGAGCAGTCGGCAGCACCCATCATCAGCACCATCAGCAGCATCACCACCATCCGAATCACCCGCATCAGCATACGCAACATCAAATGCAGCAGTCGCAGCAGCAGCAGCAAGTGGCACATCCCCTCCAGCAGCAGCAACATTTGGCGGCACAGCAGCAGCAACAACAGCAGCAGCAACAACAACAACACCTTCATCATCATCCAATGAGCACGTCCATATCGAGCGGTTCGATGACCGCCAATGCCAACTGCATCAGCTCCTCCGCCTCGCTGGCCTCCATGCCGGGTCTCAGTGCCTATCTGGGAATGGGCACCCATGTCGCCACCAGTGGTGCTGGCGTCGGTGGTGGTGGCCACATGAACCACATGGGCCTGGGACTGGGCATGGGCATGGGCGGTGGCTTGGGTGGCTTCACCCATGGTCTTGGCCTTTCCAATTTGCGCACCACCAGCATCGATGCCGATGACGACGATGATCTGGTGGCTGCCGATGTGGCCATGAATAATGCTGCTGCCGCCGTTCCTGGCAATGGTATCGTTTCCGGTTCCGGTTCCGGTACTGGTTCCGTTACCGGTTCCGGTTGCTCCGCCTCTGCGGCGCACTATCTGCGGTACAGCAGCAATTACCGATCGGCCGCCGCCGCACAGGCATCGCAGGCGGCCCAGCCGAACGCCAACTCGATCTCGATCTTGAACAATTCGAACAACGGCCATGGCCACGCGCCGATCTCATCTAGCATCTCGTCCTCTGCGTCATCAGCTTCGTTTTATAATCGCCTCCTACTCCTCGATAATTCCAGCGGCGATGCAGTCGTCGGCGGCAACGGCGTAGGCGGCGGCATCAACAACAGCAGCAGCGGCAACGGCGGTGTGGCAGGTGGAGGTGCCACCAATGGCCTCCTCGACAAGCACGATGCGGCGGCGGAGGCAACCAACCAAGCTGGCATCAACCAGTCCATCGGCGATGGCTTCTTGCATTCCAACAGCTCGGCGGCGAATTCGGCCGTGGCAGGATCGACTGGATCGAGGGACAATGACGGACCCTCGTCGAGCAACTCATCGCATCTCTACCAGAATCTGCTGAGGAGCAGCTCTGGGGAATCGCCGGCGGGATCCAGCTCGGCGGGCAACAACTGTGATTATCGGCACGAGAGCAACCAGGTGAGATTTTGGGGAGAAAACTGTGAGTTAGGATACGTTTTGTGTTTTATCCGACACTTAAAAAAAAATTTTATTAAGTTAAATATTTTTAAGTTCGTCGACTTTCTCAAATTACTGGCCAGTCCAACTTTCACCCCTCCCCCTTGAAGATTAGGATCCTCACAAAAATAAACTAGGTTTTTTTACTAACCGCTTTCGATTTTGAATCCCCAGAATGGACTAGAGGACTCGCCTCGACGCCACAGCTCCATGGATCAGCTGATTGGGGTGCTCGAAAACCTGGGCAAATCCTCGAGGACACGCAGTCTCAGTGATGGCGGAACTCAGGACGATGACGAAGGTAAGTACACGTAAAATACCCTGAAAAAAAAATTAATTTATATTCTTTGTCTACAACAAACAGCAGAGAAGGAAGCGCAACCCGATTTGCTGAACAACACACCACCGGTGCCACCGAAACGATCCCACAAGCGGCGACACACGCCCCCTCGACCGATCTCCAATGGACTGCCACCCACTCCCAAGGTGCACATGGGCGCCTGCTTCTCGAAGATCTTCAACGGCTGTCCACTGCGGGTGCACTGCACCGCCTCGTGGATCCACCCGGAGACGCGGGACCAGCACCTGCTGATTGGCGCCGAGGAGGGCATCTACAACCTCAACATGAATGAGCTGCACGACGCGGCCATCGATCAGTTGTTCCCGCGACGCACCACCTGGCTGTATGTCATCAAGGATGTGCTCATGAGTCTGTCAGGTGGGTACACTGAAACAGTTTTATTTATAAAATTTATAAAAAGAAACTAAAAACTCGGTGGTTTCAAATGAAAATCAATTAGCAAATATTGCTCGTATTTTTTATGTAAAAAGTTTAAATTGATGAGGTCATTCGAAATACTTTATTTTATTGCAGAACCTAGAAATATAAACTCAGTAATAACGTTTTTTTTAGGGAGTTGTTAGTTGTTTGCAAACACATTCTAATTTAAAATGTTTGCTGAATGAAAATAGTAGATTTCTCGTAGGACTTAAATGAAATCCCTTTAATTTGCTCAAATAAATATTTAATTGATTTACTCCAAGTTTTATATACATATGTATGTTTATATGAGTGGCAGAACGCAACTTGATTCACAAATGCAAAAACAGCAAGTTGGTTATTTGCTCACATTCTAACATTCAACATGTTTGGCTTATACAAACAGCAATAGTCATGTTGTACTGAAATTAAACCGCTTTGGTTGGGAAAAACCATGATAAAGTAATATTAAATTGATTCCTTCATAAGCCAAATGTTTGACGTACACAAATAATCACCTCTGCCACCCAGAATCCCCTTCCTTTGATACCTAAATGATTAACTTTAAAGTACATTTTGTAAACATATCCTCTTCTCTTGCAGGAAAATCCTGCCAGCTCTACAGGCACGACCTGGTGGCCCTGCACTCCAAGCAGACGGTGCGCTTCTCGCTGCACATGAACAAGATCCCAGAGCGATTGGTGCCGCGCAAATTCGCGCTGACCACCAAGGTGCCGGATACGAAGAGCTGCACGCAGTGCTGTGTGACGCGGAATCCATATAATGGATACAAGTACCTCTGCGGAGCGACGCCCAGCGGCATTTTCCTGATGCAGTGGTACGATCCACTGAACAAGTTTATGCTACTGAAGCAGTGCGAGTGGCCAGCCATCAGCATTCAGGGTGGCGGTCATGGCTGCGTCCAAAACGGCCACACGCCCGTATTCGAGATGATTATCACGCCGGAATTGGAGTACCCCATCGTTTGTACGGGTGTGCGAAAGGCCATGAACGGTTGCCTCAAACTGGAGTTGATCAACATGAACAGTGAGTGCTGACACCCCTGGAATCCATAATGTGGTTTTAATGGTTTGAATTCGATGCAGGTGCCAGCTGGTTCCATTCGGAGGACCTGGAGTATGACGCCATGGCCACGATGGTGCCGCGACGCGACCTGCTGAAGGTGGTGCGTGTGCACCAGGTGGAGAAGGACGCCATCCTGGTCTGCTACGGCAATCTGATGCAGGTGGTCACGCTGCAGGGCAACCCCAAGCAGCACAAGAAGATGGTATCGCAGCTCAACTTTGACTTCAACGTGGACAGTATTGGTAGGCAATGGTTATGCATATCAAGAGAAATTTGTTTCTAATTAGGTAATTGTATCGATTGCAGTTTGTTTACCGGACAGCGTTTTGGCATTCCATAAGCACGGCATGCAGGGAAAGTCGTTGCGCAATGGCGAGGTGACGCAGGAGATCAAGGACATGAGTCGCACTTACAGGCTGCTGGGCAGCGATAAGTAAGATGCTATATTGTTAAGACTTGTATAGATTTCTTATACTTATTTTTATTCTTGTTTTTCAGGGTTGTGGCGTTGGAGAGCCAGCTGCTGAGGACCGGCTCTTTGGGCAGCGAGGAGGGACACGATCTGTACATTCTGGCCGGACACGAGGCCAGCTACTAAGCTGCGAGGCGCCCGCTTAATCCACTGTTATATTTTAAATATACTCCGGTACACGCCACACAAGTTTTAAGGGCAGCCGCCACAGCCGCAGCCGCCGTCGTTGTCAACTATTAACTGTAATTTAATTACTCGTAGGCTAAGCAGTGATTTACTGATTATAGAGGACTAGAGAGAGCCAGTTGAATGTCGAGCGTTCGATAGCTTAGATTAGCGCAATTTTACCGCACCTAGAAGAGGCAGCCTTCGAACAAGGGATCCACACAACCACAAGCACACCGATGGGGATACTCGGCCCGATTCGCTATCTTTCGATCTGCCGATCACTCGATATATTAGACGTATGCGTTAGCGTCTGCGTCTGCCCGATTCCGTTGTAGCTATATTTTTGTATTACAAAGAAATGCTTTAATTTATACAACTAACTTTAATGATCTACGGTAATTGCTACGGATAGTTATGTTAGAGATTTGTGTACACGCCTCACAAAGCCAATAGATACGTTTCCAAATAGTCATTCAGCAGGAGGATCCAATTATATATACACTAACACATGCAATTATCCAGAAGATTCGAGACCCACTAAGGCAATTAGAACTAATAAATACTTTTTAGTCTATAGCAATTGTAAATCGCAACGTTTTTAGCTGGTTAAACTGCATTCGATTGGCTCAAAACCGCAACGGAAATTAAGTGAGGATGATGGAACGAGAATGGGGGGGAGGCGATTTAGGATGATACGGTTTGTTGGGAAACAAAACTAGCTAGTAAGACTTTTCTAACCTAGTAACACGAATTAACAAGAAAATTAAATGCAAATTAAAGGTCTGTATCTGTATGTTAAACAAGTAAACTGATTGTCATAGTTACGGTTCTAGGCTAAGCTAGGCGATGAAAACAGACAATTTTCCGAGCAGCACTTTTTCGTCGATTGAGTTGTAAAAATATTCTACTAGACCTTAAGTTAACTAGTTCATACGAAGAAGCAAAAAACCGAAAATTACAAACTAATACGGAGAAAAGCAAACAAATAAACCCACAAAATTGTTAAACTCTAGTTTAGTGCAAGAATAAAAAGTACGTGAAAGAGAAATGTTGTTTGCTGCTGATTTCAAACGTTTGTATATATTTTTTATAAATGAATCATATTTTGAATTTCCCGCCCTGTTTGGTAAACGCGCTAGGGTATTGCTCACAATTGCGTTTGTGCCATTTTCAAAAGGCGTTAATGCATTTGGTTGACGTTTCACGTGTTTTTTTTTTGTTTACAATTTTTTATTAAAAAGTGAAGATGTTCGAAGTACCGCCTTGGGAGGCAGGAGCCGAAATCATTGAATTTAAGCCTGTGAATGCATCAGGAAATGCAGTTGCCGGCGCCAAGAAGCAAAAGAAAAAGAAACCTAAGAAGAAAAAGGCAGCAGCTGAGGAAGCAAATCCAAAAGTGAACAAGACACCGGGAAACTTCAGCTATCGGCAGGGCGGAGGACCTCTGGCTCCGCCTCCCGAATCCTCTGATGATGATGACGACGAGGACGATGGAATCCGGGCTATGCGCAAGGTCAAAGCCGGAAGAATCGAGAAGCAGCGACCACCAGCGCAGGCCACAAAAGGTGGCAAAAAGGAACTGAAACTAAAACCGGAACTGGCGCAGGCAGCGGTGGAGGCCATGGAGGCCACCAGCTCGACAACACCGGCAGCCAATTCACTGGCCAGTAAACTGCAATCGGAACTTCTGGGCGGACGTTTCCGGTACATTAATGAACAACTATACTCGGTTCCGAGTCGCAAGGCGGAGGCTCTTTTCCGCCAAGATAGCTCCGCTTTCGAGGCTTACCATGCTGGCTATCGCCAGCAGGTGGAGAAGTGGCCCACCAATCCGCTTAACCGCATCATCAAGACCATCAAGAAGGTGCCCAAAACAGCCATTATCGGCGACTTCGGCTGTGGAGAAGGAAAACTGGCGCAGTCCGTGCCTAACAAGGTTTACTCAATGGATTTGGTGGCTGCTCGTAGTGACATCATTGCCTGCAACATCACCAATACCCCGCTGCAAGCTCAATCTCTGGATGTGGCCGTCTACTGCCTCTCTCTTATGGGCACCGATCTGAACGAATTCTTCCTGGAGGCAAATCGAGTGCTCAAACTGCACGGCAATGTCTACATAGCCGAAATCCAGTCGCGTTTCGAGGATGTCCGCGAGTTTGTGCGCTGCTTGAGTGCCTGTGGATTTGATCTGGTCAAGAAGGATGTGGCTGTTAACTATTTTTACTTCTTCCAGTTCAAGAAAATGCGCCACGTGCCCAAGACCACCAAGCTGAAGGCTTTCTCCTTAAAGCCTTGCCTGTATCGAAAACGTTAAATACTATGTCCTGTTTCAGTTGACATACCAAACTTCTAAAAATTCATTTTTGGAAATACGGCTTTTACTTGGAATCTGAGACGGAGGCTGCCCTTATAGATAGTCATTTTTATACATTAAATAAATGTAGAACACACCGCATAATAACGAAAATTATAACTAAGTCGTTTAAATGTTTTTTATCAATTTCAGGCTTTAAAAAGAGAAAGCTTCAAACAACAACAAATATCTCTTAAAAAACTGTTTTTTTAACATTCAAACATTAATAATTTTTTTGTGGATTTAATGAAAGAGAACAATTCGGTTTGAAGAAGAATTTAAGTAAATAAATTCAATTAAATAAGCTGAATCTAAATTTTGCTGTTGCTATACTCGTTTGAAAATAAAACCGAACCGTTCAGATGAGCCACCGGCGTTAGCCAGCACTGCGAGCAACCACTTGGTGGTTGTTTCTCGGCAAAACGCAGTGGTCTCAGCCCATTTCGACTCAAATCGAGGAGCGGAAAGCGAACCGCCTCTCCGGTCAAATTCAGTACCAGTTTGCTCTTCGTGCCCAGCACATCGAATATTTGTGAAGACGGTACGTTTTTCGATCGCGCTCCCAAAAATTCTGAGCAGAAGCGTTTTGCCAGGAAAAGTGGAAAAGGTGGCGAGCGAATAGAAAAGAAAAGCGCGCAATTCGCCAGTGTGTTTATAAATAAATGGGAATATAATTTATTAGCAACCACTATTCGCGCGATTTTCGCCCACGCCCACCCCGCTCTCTATTTTCCCCCACCATCGCCCCCGCTCTGCGTTCTCTATTACTCACTCAAAAAACTCAACGTAAATTTTCAACAGGTATTCAACGACGACGACGACAACAACAAATTGTCTTTTTTCGCGAACGAATAGAAAAAAGTGGCAAAGAATTTGTTTACTAGTGTGAAAGCGTGTGAGTGCAACAACAGGGAAAAGTGAAAACAACACAAATACAGCAGCAAAAGTATCTAACGGTTTACAGGCGCCGCAAAGTATTCCCCATCTACGTATCCTTCCAGTGGATTAAAAAAGGATTCTAGAGCCGACTTGTGTGGGTAAGTAACTTTTTTGGAATTGCGCCATAGGCTTAGTTTTTTTTCATTTGTAATTTTTTTGGGCTGTGGTCGGGAGTTTTTTGTGGCTTTATGTTTTCGATACAAACACAAGCGCAGAATGACTTGGGCAGAATGACTTCATAGCAGACACACATACGCAGAGTTAATTGAGAGTAGCTTTGCGAGAGCCAGAGAGTCGCAGTGAGAGGTAGAGAGAGCCGAAGTCACTCGGTCGGCATTTGTATCGGTGTATTTTTGTATCTGTGAGCTGTCAAGCTTTTCGAGTGTATCTTTTGGCACGATATTCTTTCGACTTCTTGTTTTGTCAACTCGACCCCTATTGTTGTTGTTTCTTTGCCGTTGCCTTACTCCAATTTTCCTTCTTCTGTGTTTTCCTCTGTTGTTTCGCATTTCGGGGGAGGGTGGGAAATTCTTATTGGAATCGTGGTAGTCAAGGAAACGTTCCACAACACGAATCCGATTTATATGTACCTAATAGGTACTTATTTTAACCGCAAACGGTTTACTTGTGCCTAAATTCTTAAGAACATTAACATAGTTATAAAGCTTGCCTCAATAGTTACAAATGTATCTCAGAAATGAATCTGATACCAAAAGATACAAAAATTTCTCGGAAATAGAAATAATCATGGTCACGTACCTTGGGCTTACAATGTAAATTAATCTCAAAGGGGCAACAAATTTAACATAAATGTACGCAGTTACAAGGGCCTATAATTACAGCTGTAGTTTGAGGCTTAGTTACATATACATTCTCATATTTATCTCGCATCACCGCTTTTACAACTTAAGATACATGTAATAAAGTTATCTTAAAGCTGTTACTCGTTTCACCAAATGTATAAGGAAAACACTGTAACCAAAATACTCGTATGTATCCAAAAGCCCCGTCACTCCAAATAAGGGCGAATACCTTTATCAAACGACAAAAGTCTAGCAGCTAAGCATTTTCCGGAAACGATTCTTTTGTATCGTTCTCGGCCTAAATATAATTTTGGAATTTTGTCGCATTCATATAGCGTCTAGTTTCATTGGCCAAATCCACAGCTGAAATTCCCCCAGATTTAGACGTCACTGCTCCGAAAATAGAATCGATCGACAGAGCGAGCAGGTTTCCGAAGCCCTTATCAGAAGTTGAGCGTTTTTTGCATTGGCATTTTTTTTGTGTTTTTGTTTGATATCGGTTATGGCAAACAAGGACGGCTCTTTATCCCTACCACTAGGCAGCATGGTTAGTATGCGGTGCTGCGATAAGATAAGGCCACCACAACAAAGGCCAGTTATGAATGGCAGGTGACTGGTTGCGAAGTTCCTCTAGCCCCTTCACCCCTCAGTCTGAGTCATGACACGATTTTCACCATCCCCGGAAAAACTTGGGGCGTTGACTTGGCAACGAAAAACTGTTCTTCGAAAGCCGCCGTTTACGTGGAGTTTCAGTTTTAGTTTTTTTTCTTTTTTCCGGGAGGTGTGGGCTTTGACCCAAATAGTAGCTAACATTAACATAAAGACTTCTTCGGGCCAGTCCCATGCAAAGTGTGAAATGAGAGAGGTTGAGCTTGCATTAGAAACCGGTTGCTGCTGGCCAAGAAGTTGGCTGCACAGCAGACAAACAGATAAAGCAGCCGAGCAAAGCAAACGCGGGAGTGCCATCGACTGAAATGCTAATAACTGTACAAACCAGCGAGTGGAAAACTATACAGCAATACAAATCCGGAGAGTGAGAGCGAGCGAGCGAGCGGGCTAACGACTTGGCAGCACGCGAGCATGGCTTAAATACAAAAAAAGAGTCCGAATCAGAGCCAGAGCGAAAAAAACCTGAATTCGAATTCGAGCGGGGAGCGTGGCCAACTAGGTGTGTCTTTGAGCATTAGAAGCTCCCCAGAGAGTCGCTCGAATTCTCTCGACTTCTCTCTGGGAAAACAGAGACTAAGCCTGGTTTCGTTAAAGCCATTTTCCAGCGTGGCCAGATCGTTGGCAAGATCTCCAAAATGGGATACTCATCCCATAGAGTATCTTAAAAATGATGTGTCGTCTGTATAGTCTATTCTTAGATTGACTTCCAGGCGGAAGATATTCCACCCTCCTCCATCGAGGGGGGAAAAACCAATCTAATCTGTCAAACAAACTCAATCAGACGGAAGGCAGCTTTTCCATTTCGCTTTGAGCTACTCAGTTCCCCTCGAATTTCCCCCCATTCCCTTGGCTTTTCCCTTTTCTATTTTTATTTGTTGTCGCATCGATTTTTACTTCTGCGGATGGGGCGTCTATAGGTCTATGATTAATGTGCAAAGCGCTGAAGTGGACAAAATTCTCCTCAACGGCGGCTTATTTGTTTACTTTCTCCCCCTTCACGACACTTTCCCCCTCGTCGATGTCTCGGCAGAAATCAAATCGCGATGTGCATGTGGGTGCGGCAATACTACACAGAGATAAAACTATAAAACAAAAATACTTGAAAATTTAATAAAAGGTAGCTCTTGAAAATTCATTAAATCTAATAAATGTAAATGAAATCTAATAAATTCCACCTCATTAAAATAATAAATATTTGTATGTCATTCATTCTGCTATTAATTATCTCACTTCCTCAAAAGATAGTAGCAGCATTAATAAAATATTTATTCAATGTACCATAACAATTTTTACGATCACTTTTGCAATTATAATATCTAGGAATTTTAATAAGGTTTATCATAGCTAACATTTTTGTAGTGCAGACAAAGCAGCACCGCTGGATGCATTTAGAGTTCGTTGGCCAGGCGGAGAGCCAAATGCTTTAAATAGCAATTGACAAGCGGTGCCTCGGTGGTGCCTCGGTGGTGCGGGGTGGTGCAGATGGCCGGTGCAGGGCGTTTGTGGGTGTGATTCACTGCGGTTGTGTCGTACTGACAGATCAGAGTGGTAATTAGTCAAGCGACACAGTCGGCTTCTTCCATTGAGCCGTCACTTGAGCTGTCGAAAAGTGTCATCTAGTGTCCAGAAACCCGTTTTCCACTTCGAGTGGCTGTGGTGATCCACTTCTGGCTTGAAACTTAGTGGTCATTGCTATCTCATGGTTTCGAGTGCGAAATGGGAACGGATCTGGCTTATTGCGATAAGCGGGTTCCGAGTCGCCATCCTCGACTGCAAGGCGGTGCCACTCCGTCGATAAGTCTACTCTATGCATTTGCAAAGGCGAAACACCACACCCTCTAATCGTTCCGTATTGATTGACCCACTTTCCCACTTTAGCACTCAGTCCAGAATGCGCGAATGTTTACGCATTTCCCACTCCATATTTTCTTGGAAAATAAACAAAGCAAGATGGAAGACCTGTGTGTTCCATAATTTCATTATAAGCAAGAACATTAAATTTTCTTTGCAGCAAAGTAATTGGTTCAAGAGGTCAAGTTATATCTCTTTAAACTTTCTTCCAAATTATATTAATGTAAAGTCCATGCAAATTAATTAATATATTCACTTATCTATCATAACGGAAACTAAATCTTGATGAAACGTAACAGCTTCCCTTGCGGAAATGCTGCCATGTTTATAAACGGATGCGAAGTGAGTTTTAGGCAAATGGCCCGTCAAAATCGCTCTTGTATATAATACATTTTAAATGCGATTTATTGGCAACGCTTCGTTGGCTTCAGAAAATGGCAAGTTTGAAAAGTTTTGTGCACTTCACTGCCGAGGGAAATTAAAGCGAAAGTTCACTCACAATGACTACAGGGAGTCCAGTAAATATAGTAAATATTCATTAGGGAAATAATCAGAGTGTGGGGATATGCGAACCCAGGGGAAGTGACGCCACCGCCAGGTGACCTAAGTTGATGTCAGAATAATAACTTGATGACACATATCCACATCGTCCCTCACTTACTATACACAAACCCTGGCCCTGCCCCGCCGCCAATTGAATTTGATTTAAGTTGTATTAAATGAAAGTTAATTAAAGGGGAGCAGCCTGCACCCAGAGTACTTGTTCCCATTCCGATTCTCAATTGAAACGACGCGATTGCCATCTTTTGTGCTTCTGCCTTCTGTCCGCCGACAGAACTTCGTTACTTTCACAATAGTACCAGATATATAAACACACTATACGAGTATGTACATATGTCTTCTTGGGTCGTCTGTTATTTCTCTCATTTTGGCTCGGACATATTTATTCTCGCCTGGCCAGCAATAATGTAACGAAAAGATTAGACGCACGCCACTTGATGAATTTCACCTCGACCTCCTTCAATTGAGGCGAATGCGCCTCAAATGTTTTTGGGTGTCGGCGGCATCTCTTGCAAAAATATTTCTATAAACTCTCGAAATAGCACCCGATATTATGCCTTAGCAGGCAGCCTGATCCGATGATGTCATCGAAAATACATCATGAACGAGCGATTGCCTCCGCATTGTAAAAAAAAGCTACGCTACGCTATCAACAATTCGAGCGATTAAGTTTGTTTTGTTTTGGTTTGACTGGCCGACCAATTTGTAATATGCTACGGCGAGATAATGTCGCTGATTCACCGTCGATCTTAGTCAAGTGCCCAAAGGCAACATTCTCAAACACTCGAGCCGTGCAATTTGGCAAGCGAAAATAGTTGCAGCCGCCCGTCGATGATGTCAACATTGCGTATGCGCAACCTTCAACTATGGGAACGATCACAGTGGCAAAGTAATGCTATATGGAGTCCATATACACATGGTCCGCTAGAAAGACGAGAGAATAAATAAAATAATATAAATTAGATGTTTGTCTGCTTTTCGGGCTTTTCGGCGGCGTTCTGGTTCTCAGCATACATATTTCGTGTGTGTTTTTGTTTAATTTTGAACGCACGATGACGCCACCAGAGTTAATTCGCTTTTTTTCGGGGTCGTGTCCGAAACTGAAACAGTATTGTACCGCCATAGAAGACTTATATTATGTAGATATCAAGAAGAGCCTGGCAAACTGGTTCGTCTAGTTTCCACTCCGTGAATCGATACGATATAGCTCCCAATCAATTAAACACTGCTAGTAAATTGAACTCACTGCGCAATCGGTCATTGCATCTGCGATCAATTGACTCTCGATCCTCGCACGTTAACCAACCCCTTTCTCAATCAACGTTGATTGAAGGCTCTGTTTATTCGCTGGGTGGGGCAACATCCGTGGCAAAACGTCGATAGCTCTGTTTTGCGAAAAGATTAATTTTATGGAATTATTCCCCCGATTTCCAGTGCCGCTAAATGGCGACCGGCAGCGGAATCAAATTTGAACGGAAGGGGATAAAAGCGAGAACATGACGCTGCCTCAACTTGCCGGCTTATATAACCCACATACATATACATATATATCTATATATATATTTGAAAGACTTATGTCACTGCCTGAACTTGAATTCAGATCTGGAACGTGAGCTGGCAGCGATCACTTGACTTTTCGGCTTACACAAAGGACTTTTAAACTTCTGTTCGGATTCCCATCTAAATTTAACCACTTAATTACTGGGGCATAATTTGTATTCACTCTGCTTAATAATGGATCTGTGAAATCAGACTGTTGTGCGGTTTATGGCCATCACATTGTAATCGTTTCCGACCTGAAAGTTTTTTTACTATCTGCTTTCGCTAGTAAAATGTTAATTCAATTTGCGGTTCAACTTTTAATGGACAATTTCTCTTGCAGCTCGCTGGAAATCATTGCCTAAGAAATTCTAGAGCTCTTTGGAAGTAAGTACGCAATTGCAGAGTGACATCATGGCTGCGGAACAAATGGAGGAGGGAGTGTCCACATCCTGGCTGGGAGTCCTGTTTTCTGTTCGTAGGTTTATTTGCGCAATGGCGCCAGGGAAATTGAGCAACTATACGGAGCTTAATGGCGTGTTTTATGCCTCGACTTCAGACATCTAATGAGCGATGGGCGCCCACACACGAATTCAGAAATACACGACTTCCGAGGAGTGGGAACTTCCGGCCATTTGACTGGGATCCAGTGCAATTTACTTAAGTCTCCAATCCAATCGCTTGCAGCCTTCTTCTCCAAACTGCCGCTGGCGTAGTCCGTAGAATCCGAAGCCAAGATGCCGGCGGAAATTAAGCCATCCGCGCCCGCTGAGCCGGAAACGCCGACCAAGAGCAAATCCAAGTCGAACTCCTCCTCGTTCTCGAAGGCTGCTCTGGCCAGAGTCACCCTGCTGGATGGCTCCCTTCTGGACGTGTCCATTGATGTGAGTATCCGAGGGGGGGAAACAGCCTGGAAAATTAGTCATAAGCTAGGAGGTTTTTCATTTGTAATTACTCACATATGAGTGGCTATCACAGCACACACTGAAGTTTTATTTTTGATAGAATTTTCTTGTTGAAAATTGGCACAGTCCATTTTTTATTTTTAAAATCTATTACCTTTTCAATTTTTTTTCTAACAAAGTTACTTAAATGGTGAAGCCGTATTTTATTTAGCATTTACTACTCTTTTTTAAACCATTCATAAATATTTATACAACTTAATATAAATTGAGACACAAGAACTTATTGATTGTGATAAGTTTTTTAATTCATTTTTTTTAGTTCAGACAAGCAGACATAATATTTATTTAAAAGTATTTGGTTATTGCGAGAACTTTACGAAACAAGTTTTATTAAGGAGATAAAATTATCTATTATGAGTAAATAAAGTCTTAAACATTATACTTAGATTTTTCTCAAGAAGTAAAACAACATTATGGTTTATCATTGACGTACTTTTATCCGAATTTTTTTTAACCAAATTTAACCATATCTAATTAAAACCCCTCCCCCACAGCGCAAAGCCACTGGTCGTGACTTGATCAACTCCATCTGTGCCGGCCTGAACCTCATCGAGAAGGACTACTTTGGCCTGACCTACGAGACGCCCACAGATCCGCGCACCTGGCTGGATCTGGAGAAGCCGGTGGCCAAGTTCTTCCGCACGGACACCTGGCCGCTGAACTTCGCCGTCAAGTTCTATCCGCCGGAGCCGTCGCAGCTCAAGGAGGACATCACGCGGTATCATTTGTGCCTTCAGGTGCGCAATGACATCCTTGAGGGCCGTTTGCCCTGCACGTTTGTCACCCACGCTCTGTTGGGATCCTACTTGGTGCAATCGGAAATGGGTGACTACGATGTGGAGGATATGCCCACTAGGGCTTACCTAAAGGACTTCAAGATCGCTCCAAACCAGACGACTGAGTTGGAGGACAAGGTCATGGATCTGCACAAGACCCACAAGTATGGAAAATATTCTGTTTGTTGGAGTTAATTAACTTATGTTATATTTATTTTTCATAGGGGCCAATCCCCCGCTGAGGCTGAGCTACACTATCTGGAGAATGCCAAAAAGCTGGCCATGTACGGCGTGGACTTGCATCCTGCTAAGGATTCCGAGGGCGTGGACATCATGCTAGGAGTTTGTGCCTCCGGCTTGCTTGTCTACCGCGATAAGTAAGTATCAATGGAATAAAATTTATTACAATTTATAATAAAATATATTTCTTTTCATAAAGGTTGCGCATCAACCGCTTTGCCTGGCCGAAGATCCTGAAGATCTCGTACAAACGCCACCACTTCTACATCAAGATTCGTCCTGGTGAATTCGAGCAGTACGAGTCCACCATTGGCTTCAAGTTGGCCAACCATCGTGCAGCCAAGAAGCTGTGGAAGTCCTGCGTGGAGCACCACACCTTCTTCCGGCTGATGACCCCCGAACCGGTCAGCAAGTCGAGGGTGTTCCCCACCTTCGGATCCAAGTACCGTTACAAGGGTCGCACTCAGGCGGAGAGCACCTCTACTCCCGTGGATCGCACTCCTCCCAAGTTCGACAGGACTCTCTCTGGTGCTCGTCTCACTTCTCGAAGCATGGATGGTAATTGCAACTTCGAAAAACTTGAATTACTTTTTTATGAGATGCTTGACAAGCACTATTTTGAACTCAGTGTCTTTCTGGTTTCGAAACTATAGTTCTAATAACCTCAAAAGACATACATTTGGATCGTGTTATTAAGAAAACTAAATTATTATCGCTTATCAAGTAAAACATTGGAACTATGTTAAGAGTTAAATACAAAAAATAATCATTTATTATTGTAATCATAATAATTGAAAACATTTGTACCTTAAATATTTAACTCGTGTAATCTTTGTTGGTTTTATTAATCATGGTCTTCCAATCTTATTTAAAATATTTCAAGGTTAGTTCACAAGGTTAAACTTATTTTTCTCAAATATCAAAAAAAAAAATTGTAGTTACAATATATTCTAAATTATTTCTTACGTAAAGATCAAGTCTCTTAAAATCAAAAATCAAAAAAAAAAAAAATGTAGTTACAATATATTCTAAATTATTTCTTACGTAAAGATCAAGTCTCTTAAAATCAAATTTATGTTCTATTCTTAAATTCATTTAATTATCAACTTTTATTAGCGTTTATGACACAATTCTCTGTTAATGAGGATTTAAGGCTTAAAGATTCAAAATAATTATTTTGGCATAATCTCTTTTGTAATAATAGCGAATCTTAACTAACGTTTTGATACTTTGCAGCCTTGGCCCTGGCCGAAAAGGAGAAGGTGGCCCGGAAGAGCAGCACTCTGGATCACCGCGGAGACCGAAGTGCTGATGGCGATGCCCACAGCCGCAGTCCCATCAAGAACAAGAAGGACAAGGTAACTCATCCAGCCAATAACATAATAGTGCCTGACGATACCTATAGCTATAGCTATTGAGATGAACATGTTTAACGATGATTTTCGGAGTTAACCAGAGTTTTTTGTACTTTCTTCTCGGTTTGTTACTAACTCACAACCAACCACTCACAAACCAAACAACCAACCAAACAACCGAACCAAAACACACACATCCATCCACTCTGTGCCACTGAAATGACTAATGAAATGATGTGCTCGTAATGTTAACCCATCCGTTCCCTAAAAAACACACGCCTTAACCCTTGAACAACACTAACCAGTTGATGCGACAGTCGAGCACCGGCACGGCTTCGGCCTCCTCGCAAAGTTCCCTCGAGGGTGATTACGAGACCAACCTAGAGATTGAGGCCATCGAGGCTGAGCCCCCCGTTCAGGTTAACACTTTACTACCTTACAAAAAACCGAAGCAAAAACCAAAAAATCAAAAAGTATCCAAATCGACTCTTCTACGATTTATCCTTACTTATTTTTATCGGCTTTGAACTCTGCTTTTCGAATGTTGTGAGCTTACGTATGAAACGATTTGATTTGAAGTCTCCCCGTTTATTCGTTTATTTGTTCAACTCAGGGCCTCTATACCTTAAATATTTAATGGATGCTCTGAACATATTAATTTATATACTTTTTTGTTTCATAACCAACTATCCTCTAACCTGATAATCTGATATCTGATAGAACCCGAACGAGCTGTACCTTGATCTGATGGTAATTTTCTGTATAATGACGAATGTCAAACAGTGCCGTCAACTGTCTGTTAAATGTGCATTCATTATATCTATCTTGAATACCTGACTTCACTTTTTTTGAGTGTTTATTTTAAGTTTGATTTGATTATTTTGTGGCGTCCTGTAAACGTTCCATTTCCCGAGCTGTAAATACCATTGAGGACCACACAAGTACAGTCTACACAAAACATGCATTGGCACTGAATTTGCGACTCTACTAAAAAATGTACCATCCATTATACTTTACCCATTTCCTTCATTTCGTTGCTTGTATTGTAAATATGTATTGTACAACTCCGCCATTTTGTAGCATGTTGGCTTCTTCGCCCCAAAAATCTGTACTTTGTAAACTATATTTTCAGAATTTTAACGGAGGTATTTTTAATTTTTCTCAGGATGCGGAGAAGGAAGCCAAGTTGCGCGAGAAGAAACAGAAGGAAAAGGAGGAAAAGGAGCGCAAGGAGAGGGAGAAGCGCGAATTGGAGGAGAAGAAGAAGGCCGAAAAGGCGGCCAAGGCAGCACTTGCTGCAGGAGCCGCTGCAGGATCGGCTGTTAATGGTAAGTCCTTCCTTAAAAATGAATTTCAATAGTGAACGAACTTTTAATATTTTATCTTAGGAAACGATGATCTTAACGACTCCAACAAATCGGACAAGTCCTCCGGCAGACGTGTAAGTATCCTAACTTCTATTCCCCACTTAAGCTAGTTTATAGGTTTTTAGACCTAAGTCTAGGTGTACTAAGCTAAGCGATAGCCCCGCACTGAATGCGCCCGCCCTCGTGTAAATACCCCTAACCCTCCTCTTTCACCCCAAAAGAAAACCCCCACCTCACCTCACTTAAGTTCAACCCGTAAGTTATGATAGTTTGTAGTGAAACCCAAAATTAAAGTATAAGTTTACCTCATTGGTTGTATGACATTTATAATTTCATTTTCGTTAATTTTTCCCTCCCAATTCTTTTCGTTTTATGTTTGAACTTATCATTTGAATCCCGAAAAACAAACGATCCATCGACGATCCACAGGGCGTTGGCATATTCTCCTCAGGTCGCAAGAGCAAGAGCGGTTCTCCGTCCAAGGACGGCAAGGATAAGTCCGGAAAGGAAAAGTCCGGCAAGGACAAGGACAAGGAGGTGGGTCGTCTTGGTCTGGTCGTCACTTCGGGTCTGGGCGATGGTGTTGAGGATGAACACCTAGATGAAGCAGCCAGAAATGCTGCCAAGAACCGAGGATCCACCACACCAGGAGTCACCAGGCAGTATGAGTATGCCGTCGATGAGGATGGCAATGCCAGTCCCACAAGGAAGTCTTACACGCCAGGTGGCTTCCGCTACGATCAGGATCCCAACTCGAGGAAGTCCGGTGCCGATGGACAGGAGCAGCTGTCTCCCACATCGCAGCAAAAGAAGATTGGCCTGGCCTTCAACTATGCTCCTGGCAATGAGAATGCTCTGAAGGAAACTGCCGAGAAACTGAAGGCAGGACAGCTGTCGCCTCGCACCAAGGATAAACTCAATCGCGGCCAACTTTCGCCCAAGTCGAGGGCCAAGCTCCTCCAGGATCCCCTGCTTTCGCCAACCACTCGTGCTAAACTCCAGGGAAGTGCTGTGGATGCTGCTGCCGTTCCTCTAAGCGATTCCCAAAAGAGATCCTACTCGCCAACCAAGGGACCCCAGGGTTACTCCTCTGGAGCTCCGGGAAGCTACAAGCCCATCACAGATCCCACGGCTGACTTCCTGGAATCGCAGCGTTACAACAGGGAGCCTGGTTATGTTGGTCCTGCAAAGCCTACTGTGGCTGCTGGAGTTGCTGCTGCTGCTGGAGCTGCTGGTTCCAAGAAGCCTGGTTCTCCCACCAAATCCGGATCGGGAGCTCCCGGAGCAGCTGGTGCTGCAGCAGGAGCAGCAGCAGGATCCGCAGCAGCAGCAGCGGCAGCCAAGCCGAAGAAGAGGCGTGTCAAGATCATGGTCATCACCTCCAAGTTCGATCCCTCGACCAAGCGCATCGATGCGGAGAACGGCAGCATTGAGCACTCCACTGGCATCCTGGATCCCGCCAGCGGATTGATTGACACCAAGTACGGTGTGATTGATGCCAAGAAGGGAACCCTGGAGGCCCTGAACACCAAGACCGGTAAGAAGGAGGTCTTCCAGGGCGACATTGATCCCAAAACGGGCAATCTCCACTTGGTTTCTGGAGTGGCGGATCCGAAGACGGGACGGCTGGATGATTCGCTTGGTCAGATCGTTTGCATCACCCCACAGGATAATCCCGTAGTGGAACTAACAGTGATCACCAGTCGCATTGATCCCGCAACAGGAAAGATTGATACGGTTAATGGGGATGTGGAGCGATCGCTGGGCGTCCTGAATTTGGACACCGGACTCCTGGACACCAAGTACGGAGAGATCAACACCCGCACCGGCGAACTGAAGGCAATTGATCCCAAGTCTGGAAAAATTGTGGTTAGCAAGAATGTGAAGGTGGATCCTGGCACTGGACAGATTACCATTCTGGGTGTGGTGGATCCCAAGACGAATAAGATCGATCCGAACCAGGGTCGCCTCATCGAGGTGGGCCAGCAGATTGATCCCATTGTGGAGGTCACCTCGCTGGCGGGCAAGTTCGACTCCAAGAGGAACATCATCGATCCCAAGACGGCGCAGGTGGAAACCTCTGGAGGTCAGTTCGACCCGAAGGCCGGCAAGATCGATACCAAGTACGGACAGATTGATCTCGTCAAGCACACGATCACCTTCAATGACCCTAAATCGGGCAAGACGGTGACCAGGGACATCAAGATTGAACCCGCCACCGGACAGATTGTGCTGAAGAACCAGGTGAATCCGAAGAACAACAAACCAGACAAGGACTATGCCAGGATCATCTCCCTGCGAATCGTGCAACAGCGTGTGGACCCTGCCACCAAGGCGCCCATCAGCCAAGTCAGTGCCTCCAAGGACAAGGACATTGTGGTGGACCCGAAGTCCAACCAGATTTGGGTGCCCACCGGAGCCACCGATCCAGCCACCAAGGAGCAGCAGTACATTTCCAGCAGTGTGGATCCAAAAACGGGATACGTCATCACCATCTATGGCTACCTGGATCCCAAGACCAACGAGATCAAGAAGCAGACCAAGCTCGACCCGAACACAATCAAGATCGAACCCACCTCCGGAAAGATATACACCGCCACCGGGGAGGTGGATCCCGCATCCGGGGAGCCGCTGTACGCGGCCACCCAGGTGGATCCCGAATCGGGCGAGGTGTACACCAAGTTGGCCCGTGTCGATCCCAAAACGGGCAAGATCGTGATCGTGCGCATCCTGCTCATCTCGAAGACGGACGAGCGCGGTCGTCCGGAGGAGATCGATCCCTCCACCTGCGAAATCGATCCCGTCTCCGGCCGTGTTCTTAAGTTCTTCAATAAGACCGTTTATGTTTACAATATGATTGATCCTGTCACCGGTGAAATCGTGCAGGTGGACCCCAACGATCCCCGTTTCGCTGGCGCCCGCACCACGGTGACCCACACGATGACGCTGACTGGAGAGATTGATCCCGTGACCGGAAGGATTAAGAGCGAGTACGGAGACATCGATCCAAATACGGGTGACATCGATCCGGCCACCGCTGTCACGGATCCTGTGACTGGAAAACTGATCCTCAACTACGCCCAGATTGATCCCTCGCACTTTGGAAAGCAGGCACAGGTGCAGACCACCACGGAAACGGTGCCCATCACCCGACAGCAGTTCTTCGATGGGGTTAAGCACATAGGCAAGGGCGCTCTGAGACGCGATTCCGAGGGCAGTTCCGAGGACGACATGACCGGCCAATATGCCACCGATCCGGCCAAGGACATCGTGATCAATAGCTCGGCGGCGGCGGCTGGAAAGTTGGGCAAGCCGGTGAGCACGCCCACGGTGGTGAAGACCACCACCAAACAGGTGCTGACCAAGAACAACGATGGCGTGACCCACAACGTGGAGGAGGAGGTGCGCAACCTGGGCACGGGCGAGGTCACCTACTCCACGCAGGAACACAAGGTTAGCAGGGGACACTGTCCTCCCATCGATTAGTCGGGATTTACTTTATGCAGGTTCTAATAGAATTCGATCCGATTATAAACGAAATTTTAAATGTTTGTAAAAGGCATATTTGTCTGTGATTTAAATCGGTTGAACTTCTTCACATTTTCGTGAGTCCATATCGTAAATTTTTAGAAATCATTAAAATCTTGGAAGTGCTAATGTGTTAGAAATCTAAACAAACCTTCCTTTTAAAAATATTTAATATGTTCAATTATGAAACAACACATAAATTCAATTTTTCGGGACTTATGAACACTATACGTCATATTTGAAACGAATAAGTTGTATGGTCGTGTAAATTTAAATCCCATGTATGAAATCACAGATATTTTAATCGAATACCGAATTCTATTCTAAAACTGGATAATTCTCTTTCTGTCGCTTTTTGTGCTTCGCCTTTAAAGTTTCGACCTCTTTAACTCTGCCTTTGCCTAACTTCCGCCAGTATCTGTTGTTGTCAATGTTGTATTTAGAGCTTTGTTAAATGTTTAAAAGTTTTTAATGCTGTACGCACTAACCCACCGACCAACCACTTGCCACTCCAATCCACCCAGGCTGATGCTACACCCACCGACCTGAGTGGCGCCTATGTCACGGCCACTGCTGTCACCACCCGCACCGCCACCACGCACGAGGATCTGGGCAAGAACGCCAAGACGGAGCAGCTGGAGGAGAAGACGGTGGCCACCACCCGCACCCACGATCCCAACAAGCAGCAGCAGCGTGTCGTCACCCAGGAGGTGAAGACCACGGCGACGGTGACGAGTGGCGATCAGGTAAGATGATCGCATGGCTGCACTTTTATTCTTTTGCATGGTTTGATATCTATCTATCATTTCTTTTTATTTGTTGTTGTGTTGCATTGCCGTATGTGTTGTGTAGTATCAGAGAAGGGACAGCGTTTCCTCGACCAGTTCCGGTGATTCGGGCACGCCCATCGATGGACCCTACGATGGTGCCAGTGTGGTGCGCACATCAGACAACCAGGTGGGTCAGGCATGGCACTTTTTGCAGTTATTATCTATCTTAATACATCAAGATAGTTGTACACCAAAGGGTTCCTTCGTAATGCTAAAATTCTTGCTTTTCCAACCAGAAATCTCCGCTGTATACGACCTCCGCAACCACTGGACCCCATGTGGAGAGCACCCGCGTGGTTCTGGGTGAGGACACACCCGGCTACTCCGGACACGGCGAAATCATCTCCACCCAAACCGTGAGCAGCAAAACCCGCACTGTGGAAACCATTACCGTAAGTATTTTAGGGAAGATAACCCCCTGATTCTATTCGAATGGGAAGCGTAAGTAAACAAAGGTAAACTTACTTGTATCTATCTAAAATACTATCCAAAAGATATTTCCTGTAAACGTTTGCACCACACTGTAAATTTCATGCTCAGTCCCTTGTTCGAATGGGTTCAGGTTTTAATACTGTAATATAATACCAAATAATAATAATTTATATATCTTCAAACACAGTACAAAACTGAACGCGATGGCATTGTGGAGACTCGTGTGGAGCAGAAGATAACCATTCAATCCGATGGAGATCCAATCGATCATGACAAAGCTTTGGCCGAGGCAATACAAGTACGTGCCATTATCTTTATTATAATAACATACACTATAACCCCTTATTTTATTTAATAACAGGAAGCGACGGCCATGAATCCGGACATGACAGTCGAGAAGATTGAAATTCAGCAGCAAACGCAGTAGATTTTACAACTATTTCTAAACACTTCAGAGGATTTTCTAAGTAAACTAGCACACACACTCACATACACACACCCACACATGAACACCAGCCCACGCATAAGAAGCACTTGCAGTACACCTTTTTTACAAGCTATATCTAAATATATAATATATATACGACCTCGAGCTGATGACCCACATGACATAACAATAAGAAAAAAAAAGATAAAGAGAGATCAATTCCCAATTATCCAAGTTACCACTACCGTCTACGAGAAAATGCATCCACATGTTTATTATTTTTATTACAACTGTTGTTTATAATTACTTTTTATTACGTATATTATATATTGAATGTGCAAGGCAACGTTGAAATGAAAAACTCTATATATTGTAAACCACGATTGCATTCAAATACAAGAATAAAACCTAAATGTACACACAAAAACCGATTGGGCGATTTTACTCGAAAAAGCTCCCTGGGCATTCGCACTTTCTAAAATTGCCACTCGTCGTCGTTTTCAATAAGCCACGGACCGCTGAATATTTGATGAACCGTTCCACGTCGACCCAATGGCGATAGAAATCAGCAATCCACCGGGGTTTGAACCACTTCTTTCCCCTTTGGCTTTTTGCACACAACGTCATCGCAATTAAGTGAAATTACCGGCCGAATAGAACACAAAATGAACCCATTGCTGACCGTCCAAGCACATGACCGGCGATAAGGACCCTGCATTAACATGAAATCCAATTCGCAATTGCAGTCCCCCCCTTTTTTTTTTTTGAGGAGGGGGAGGTGGAGCCTCTGGGACCCCGACAACTCGCCAGTTGAAAGCGGGGTAAAACGATTGTAATGCAATATTTATGGCCCCCAGTTGCCCAGAATCAAGTGGGAAGGTCGGGAAGGCTCCCCGCTAATAATATTACGTTCTGTGCCAGGAATTTCTCTTCGCTATTTTACACCCTGTACTTTTTAGACACAAGGGTTATACCGAAATACATACTATATACAAAATCAATAATCAAATATTATTTATTGTTTTCCCATTTAATGGTGTATTTATTAATATTCTAATGAAATATATTTTATATTTGTGTTTTAAGGATTTAAATTAAATTGTTGCCAATAGTTTATAGTTTTATTTGAAACAATGAAGATATAAAATTTAAAAGAGAAAATCATAAAAAAACTTTAAAAGCAATTGTGGTTAAGCATTAAGGAAAAGCTTGTGGTTGTGTTGGACTATTTTATATTGCATATTATCGTAATTCCCCGAAGTTTAAAAAAAAACAGAAAGTTGAACATCAAATCTAAATTCAATTGGTACTCCAAAGTCGGGTTGCAATCAAATGGTATTTGTTACCATTTTTTGTGTGCAATTTTTAATTTGCCGGCGCAACATGCAAAAAAATGTCAACTTGTGGTTAAAATAGAAGAGAAGTCGTGTTGAAGGCTTTTTTTTACGGAGGGCGTTCGGGTGGAGCGTAAAAAGCCGTAATTAAAGTAGAGCGTACAAGGTGACTGACTAATGCATTGATTCGTAGTTTAGATATAAAGCGCGCTCTCTGGCGATAAAATGCCAACCGAAAGGCGTTCTCATGCTGAAAATCATGCGGTCAATCCAACCGTCCGTCAATCAGTCAGTTAGTCATTCAGTCCGTCAGTCAGTTCACCCGAGGTTGCCAAGAATTTGCACCTGCATGTCTATGTCCCTGTTACAACTTGTGGCACATATGTTCGAGTGTGGTATATCCACCCCAAAGGACACGATAACTGCATTCAGCTCACACGACTCATGCATTTTTTAAAACGCGCGGTTGGAAAACGCTCTTGCGAAAATTTCATTGCACGTTTGCGGCTCTGCACAAAAAGAAAATCTATAAATTTCAATTAGTTACTAGAGTTTCACAGTTATATAAGTTTAATAAATAATATTGTATTGTATTAGGCTTCAAAGTACTCAACATTATGCAATCCTTTAGTGAAATTTGGTGAAAAGTAAACTATATTTTGACGAGCTATATATAAAGAATTCCTAATGAGCTATATATAAAGAATTCCTAATAAAAGCAGCAAGTGAAATCTAAAATAATACCATTTATCTCTTCTCAAGTGAATTCTAAAGAATTTTAAATATAATTAATACGTCATTTTAATTAATTTTCTCTGTGTTGTTTTGACGAACCTACTGCATATTGCATGTTGTTGTGGTCACTCGGAAAAGTTGTGGCAAATTATTGCATCAACTTTGGCCCGTTGTTTTAGTTTTTTGTTGTTCTTCAGCGCTGCAACAAAGTAATGGAATATCTAAGTACGGCCTGGAACATTAACCCCCCGGAATGCATCGATCCATCCATTCGCTTCCTAATCCCCAGCTGACATCCGCATCGAAATCAGTGCAAAAAATCAAACGCAGACCCGGCAATTTCAGGCATTTGCGACACGACGTCGCCAATTAGATTTGATGACCGCTCAAATGTTATAAAACAAAAGTCCAGGGGGGCGTTATCGTTCAAAGCGAAAAAGAATGTTTTCAAATGTCATGCGAATTGTACGATGGTTCGGCCCCAAAAGGCGGGAGCAATCCAATTCTGGCTCATGAAACTGCAATTTGCATGTCTGTCTGGTGGAGTCGCGAACCACCCACTAAAACCACCCACAAAAACCACCCACTGCCCACCCACTCGGTTAAGTAATTGCTGCCCCACCGGAAAATAGTCAAGCAACAAGTAGAGGTAATTATTGGGAATATTTGCATGGGCGGTAGCTTTGGGAAAATGCAGCTTACCCTTCTGCCAGCTCTGCATTTGTTTGTAAACAAATGCCCTAACCCCGGATAGGATGGGTTTAGTATCCCGACGCATTGGAAGTCCTTTTGCTCGGAGCGATGACAGCACATGCGCATTTTGAATATCCTTTTGTAAGTGTTATACCAAGGTTCCCCTTCGAAAAATCCCTGGGGTAAATGGTAATCAAGAGAATGCCCAAAAATGCTAGATAAAACGATCCCAGCTAAGAACCATTATCATATTTTAATTAAGCACGTTAGTGACATTTTAAGTTAATGTCACGAATTGTGGATTATTTTTAAATAAACTCAAAAAGAATCCCCTAACTAACTAACTTAAAAAATATAGTATATTTACTGAAAACAATCCTTCGTTTACTTTTACTTAATTTAATTTACTTCAATATAATTTTTCCAATCATAAAAATCAAATGACAAATAAGTTAGTAAATATTCTCGAATACCTTTTTGCTTTAATCCGTCTGTGGAATTATGCAACATTTTACTCAATAATACAATTCCTTATATTGCCAACAGATATTATCGCTAGAAAGGTAAAGTTCTGTTTGTAAAACCCAATTAAATCCTCAAGCTCGAATCACCTAAATGACAACTTCAGCTAACTCCACTCCACTTAAGATACATGCTTTTTTGGCTAATTAATAGGCCGTATGTTAATGGAACTTTCCGTCCGAAAAAAAGGTAAATTGGTCAATCGCTCAAGAAATTATCATTAGGCCGATTGTCAGTGAAATATGTCGAATGAAAGCAAACGAACATATTTGACTTGCCCGGCAGTTCCTTAGACAAATATTGAAAAAGCGTAATTAGCGCAGAGCACATAATAATGCACTCGAGTGATTAATTAGCCAGGACAAACCATTCGAGGTTATTGGTAAATCCATTTTCGAACGAAGCATTTTTAAAAACCATGTTCAATTCACTCTCAAATTCTTAGCACGCAGTTGGCATAAAAGTGGAATAAACAAATTTGCAATCAAATTGGACCAAAGACCAAAGCGAATAAAAGGCCGATGGCTAAACTGACCATTTCAGTTTATTGGGTGCACAAATATTGAAAAGAAATTTGCGCTAAATGCCTCGAATTGCCAAGGCTGATAGCCACACGTATCGAAATGGCAATAAATGCAAATGAAAAGCGATAAAGACGATATCCCTGCCTATTGCTTAACCTCACTCTGTCCACCCTTAACCCTCTCTTGAGTCGAGAGCAAGGGTTATGGTTATGAACTCTCGACGGGTTAACCAAAATAGCATTTCAATAAATACCAATTATGATGAACACTGCCTGCTGTCCATTTAGCCGGGGATTTCGACTTTGGCAGTTTCATTTGGGCATGCGAATTATTGTTTGGAGTGGTTTTTTTTCAAGGGGGTGGAACATATGGCCCTTTTCAGGTGGGTCATTCGATGGCCCATTTTTGGAATTATGCCATGGCATAAAAATTTGATGAGCTTCAACTTCACAAGTGCCTGGGCAGCAATGAAAAGTTTACAATAAACGAGAACGGGAAAATTCCAGGCTACGAAATTGCGTTCTTACGCAAGTTGGGGAGCTGAAAATTCCCTTTCCTCTCTCCATCCAAACTCCGTATATTTTCTATCCAAATTGTCAGTTGGCCAGTTGGCTACAACATTGCATGTCTTGGCATACGTGGGCCATGAAAAATTCATGGTCCGCCTTCATTGTACTGCCACATAATTAGACTGCGGCTGCCAAAAAATAAAGGTGATCCTGAATGCATGATTGTTGTTAGATATCCTGGAAATAATGTTGCTTAGAAAGAAAACTTAAACGACTGGAATCTTAGTAAGTTATACTGTTTGGTTCGCTATTCATTTATGAGATATTTAAATCATTAATTCTTATTCTTAAAAAAGAACTCTTATAAAAAGATAACAATTTTTAAACGATCCTAATTAAATTCAAGAAATGAACATAATGTCTTCAATGCATTAAAAGTATTATGACATTGAATGAGAATCATTTAAAAAACTTGACAGGTGCATTGTTTTTTTTGTTGATACATACTTAAATTAAATTCCCTGTCCAATATACCCCTTCTACCCAATTTACTAAGAGGTATCCAAATGGAGCACCTGTCCAGCGGGGGGCGATTAGCTTTGTCTATTGGCCGTTGTCCCGAACCCAATAGATGTGGTCTATAAAAAACAATGCCGCAATCGTTTGATTTCCCCGCCAAGATTGCGGTTGTTCCAGGTCCTGAAATTTGCGCGCTTATCACCTTAATGTCGATTGCTGGGTACCCTACCCCCCCTAACCCCCCAAAGGGCCAGGAGTCGTTTCGCGTAAAGGTCATTGTGTTATTAGTGCCACAGTCCCACGACTAACGTAATAGCAGCACAATTTATATTATTAATGCCCCACATGTGGGATCCTGCCACTGGAAGAACCGCAGGACTTTTGAAGGTTCTTTGCAGCCACATTCACATTATTATTATCGTTATCATTCTAAATATAAGCTTTGCTTTTTATTTTAAAACCTAAAGATTTGTTATTGGATTCGATGAGGAAGTAGATTATTACAAACGCGTGGTGGCAATGTGTTAAAAATAAAAGGCTCGTCACGGCAACTAATTGAAGGCTGGGTGTTCTGGCTTCCACCCACTTTTCTTTCTTTTTTTGAAGGGCCTTCAACTGGCGGTGTACTTAGCAAATTGCTTGTCCTCTGTTGCATAATAAATGGAGTGCAAACACAAGTGCGCCATGAACTGAATACACACCGAACTTGGACTCCATTTTTTTGCGTTGCTAAAGAGGTCAGCATTCAAAATAGAGCAGCGCCCCCAACCCAAATAAGTTGGTAATTTTCGGGCCTTTGTGCGATTGACACACGCATGTCAGGCCCCATTACTGGATCTCCATCAGGCATTACCCCCCAATTCACCCCCACCCCCTTTTCCACCTGGTTTCAGGTAATTCCCTATTCGAAATTGCGCATTGCCTTTGCCTTTGCCTTTGCCGGTTTTCATTGCACCTGACGCACCGCCCAATCGAAAAAGGACACACGCCCACCCATCAGAAAAGATAATTTACCAGTCGGCCATATCGATCGTGTGAAGCTCGCAACGCTTTTCCATTTTCTCCTTCCCGAATTGCGTGCCGTGATGTTCAATTTTCCGTGGAGTGGACAAACGAAACCGCAAATGGAAAAACTAAACCAACTATTTTGGCTGCCATTTGGGGGCGGGGCACTAACCATCGATGGGCGGCGGGGTGGTAAGGGGAGGGTCCAAGGTGGCCAACATGTGTGCCGCACACATGAATTATTAATTGACAATTGCCGAAAATGTCCATTAACCAGCACAAAGAAGGAGGTGGATGGTTGTGGATGGAGTTGGTGGGTTTGCTGGTCAGGGGAAAATTTCAATTTCTGGCTAATGAAAATTATGGCAAACGGGGTTAGTTTTTCCATCCACTGGCAGGTGTTTTCTTTTCTGTTAACTCCCTTTAACCGAGTCGATCTGCTATGGTAATATGTGAGCAAAATCATTTTGTACAGAATATAATTTAAAGCACAACTCAATAAGTTTAGGATCTAAGATAGATTTATACTAATTTATGCACATCTTAACTTTTATGATAAATAATTGTAAGTAAAAACGTACTTTGCTGACACACAATTGCTTAAAAACAAAATAAACAAAATTTTTAAGCATTGCAACTTCTGCACACACTACTTAAAATCCTTTACCAATGGTAACTATAGATATATCCAAGTACTTTTTTCTTACAATTTTTGTTTATGCCCTTTGCTTTATTTAAAATTATAATTGCCGAAAAAATTTTAATAAAGGAGTACCAAGTGTACCAAAAGAACTGATGTATTTTTGGGAACGGAATTTTTTTTGTTTTTGAAATAATTACTTTCCCTTTAAAGAGTATTAATATTCCGTATTTCCCGAACAAACTTAAGTACAGTTGCAAATTACCACTTCCTGTGGCCTTCGCTGGCACTCTCATTTTCAGAATTCGCCCAATTGCCCGGCTTGATGTAGCACGCTCTATTGGCCAAATGATCGCTATGCCCGAAATAAGTTTTCTATCAGTACGGGCATCAGTGTTTTTTTTTTTTTTTTAAATGAGATGACAATTATTTGTAGATTTGAACGCAGAGCTCAAAAACGAGGAGCACACGTCGAATAACAGGCATTACATAATAAATCTCCCTGCGAGCGTTACAATAGAGTCGCTGCCGAATCAGCTGAACTAACAATTCGAGTTGGCCAACAGAATAGCCGGTTTTTGAGTGCGAGAGAGCCACCACTTTACTGACGTGTCATTCAACTCGATCGAGAACCCGAGAAGCCGAGAACTCCTGAAATTCTGAATTTCTGAGAGGCTTGCTCACTCACCTGAGTTCGCTAAGGCAACCAAAACAAATTGAGCTGAGCGAAGCGGAAAGTCGTTTGAAAGCCAGAAGAAAAACGTTTACCAACTTCTCCGCTCTTCTCTTGCTTTTTAGCCAGTTCGTGCTGACAACCGGCAAGAGTAAGGTCAAGTTCAGAAGCCTCTGTTTTTGCCACGAAGATGATGCGGATTTTAGTGACTCTGCTTCTGGCCGCCTTCCACTCGATCCCATCCACGTTGGCCATATCCTGTGCTGGTTGCGTGGATCTGGATGAGCTTAATTTCCAGAAAACGGTGGAGAGATTTCCCTACGCCGTTGTCAAGTTCGATATCGCCTTTCCCTACGGAGATAAACACGAAGCCTTTGCCGCCTTTTCGAAGGCCGCTCACAAAACCACGAAGGATCTGCTTATTGCCACCGTGGGCATCAAGGATTATGGAGATCTGGAAAACAAGGTAATTTTTGGAGAATATATATATATTAAGTAATTAGGCAACTAAACCTGACAAATAATTAATGAGTCGGCACCGTTAACGTTCTGTATTCATCGCTTATCAGTGGCGGATTTACCATATAGGCAACATAGGCAGCTGCCTAGGGCGGCAAATTTCGACTGTTAACACTACATAAAATACTATGTACTTTTGAAAATTAGGCTGCAGTCTAGGGCGGCAAAATCAAAACTGCCTAGGGCGGCAAATTGTCTTAATCCGCCCCTGTCGCTTATATATTCAATTTCTCAACTTTTTGTAATAATAACTAATTGCTTTATTGAACCTTGCCAGCAAAACGTTTTTATATATAGTAAGATATTTTTCGTAACTGATTTAACTTTTTGGCAGGGTTCTATTTCAAATAATTTTTGTCATTTGTCGAAACTATTTCATGAAATAATTAAATTATTAATCAACAAAAAGTTTTTCTTAGGTTAAGCATTTTTAAAAATTAAAAAAAAAACTTTGTTGGTAAAACTATGAAGTAGCTAAATTTATCAAAATATCTTATCTTTGAGATTATATTTAAGAAAAACTTTTATATAAATTACGAAGATAATTACGGTTCATTTTTGTTTGTTGTTGTATTATGTATTTTCATTAACGAACATTTAACATTTTTTTATTTCAGGCCCTGGGCGATCGCTACAAAGTTGATGACAAGAACTTTCCCGCCATTTTCCTGTTCAAAGGCAACGTAGATGAGTACATCCAGCTTCCCAGCCACATGGACGTAACTCTGGATAATTTGAAGGCCTTTGTCAGTGGCAATACACCTCTATATATTGGTCGCGATGGTTGCATCAAGGAGTTCAACGATGCCCTCAAAAACTATGCCAATATTCCCGATGATGAGCAACTGAAACTCATTGAGAAACTGCAATCCAAACAGGAGAAGTTAACCAATGCCGAGGAACAGCAGAGTGCCAAGGCCTACTTGATCTATATGCACAAGATCCATGAACTGGGATACGATTTCCTGGAGGAGGAGACCAAGCGACTTTTGCGTTTGAAGGCTGGAAAGGTTTCGGATGCCAAGAAGCTAGAGCTGCTGAGAAAACTTAACATTCTGGAAGCCTTCCGAGTCCACAAAGTCACCAAAACTTCGCCCGAGAAACAAGAGCTGTGAACTTGTCGAAGTGCATCTGTTAAATCTGTAAACATTATAATCTTTAATGATATTTACATATGCCGAAGTACTGCGGTCAAATGTTAATGCACAATAATTCTTAATGTAAACCAAATTTCAAGGTATTTTTAAAGGTATTTAAATAAATAAAATATGAAAAAAAAAAAAATATTTACCGAAACAGTTTTAGCGCAGAACATTTTGTTACCATCATATTAATGTTTAGATGAACAACTTTAAGCTTAAGAAATGAAATATTCATATTCATTTCATTTCCCAAGTATAATAAGAAATGTTGAAAGAATGAGTCTTTTAGTGGATGTACAAAGAATAAATCATTAAACAATTTCCGGGCAGTTTTCATTATTGGCTACTTAAGAAATATTCAGAAAAAAATTGTTCAAAGGGCTGTCAAGCATGAATTTCAATTAAAAACTGCAAAAATCATTGCTTTTTGGCTTATATTATACTCTTCCGCAATAACTGATCAGTATCACACTCATTATAATCAATTGCCCAACATTATAGAAAGGATATTATTTGCGGTATTGAGGCGAAACGTTAATCAATAACTAATCACATTTTTATAACAATTTTATTCGGATCCAATTCTAAATGCTTTTCCCAGTCCATTTTTTCGCACCGTTTTCCCCCAAGGAAAAAACTTATTGGGTTTGGAAAAAAATTAATAAAAATTTAAGTTTTGTATGACATTTTTCAGCTCAGAAATCCTCTACAAAGGTGAAATATGTATTTACGCAGAATGGAACAGGAATATCAGAGACATGTAAATCGCTTACCACCCGCAATCCCTACAAAAATAAGAGAAAATAAAACTAGCGAGAAAATTCTCTTAGCAATCTTACCACATAAGGACAGGTATGATTTAAAGTGGTGTAATCCTTTATAATATTATAAAACATATTAATAACTGGATTATTTCTTTTTCGCAAAAATGCACAGGCATCTATTGTGATATCATATAAAAAAGGCTTATATCCACTGGCCTTTTTCACCATTTGTAGTTTGAGGGATACATTGTAGGCAGGATGAAAAAATGTTGCGTTTACATGTAAGCTAGTCTTGATTCGCGAATAAGCCTTCAGGCGGCAATAGTGAAACTGTACCCAAGTTTTGTTTTATGTTTGACAGACAACATTTGTCAATTTTAAGTAAGGTGCCTCCTGAAATATTTTACAAGACTTGCAGAAAATATTAATTTTAATAACTAACACAAATTACACTGCAAATGAAGAAAGCAACTTCCAAGAATATTCCAAAGATAATAGCGTTAGAGTTCATGACTGACTGAACTGGGAAAAAAGCAACCACTGAATTCAAATGTTTGAAAAATTGTATTTTGGGTAGCATGAGGATAATTTGAAATAATCGTTGTGAAATTTGTTTTTAATCAGATGCATATAATTTTTCAAATAATACTAGTTTAAGTAGCTTTTTTTGGCAAATTGAGCGTTATATAACCATGAATCATACATTTTTTGTAGAATAATTTTTCCCATGTTATCCTTATAATGCCAGCTTTAAGGCAGAAGCCCAGAAATTATTTTGGTTTTTAATATTATTTATTCAAATTTCCATTATTTGTATTGTTATTATCATGTTAAAAATGTTCTAAATTTTGTGTTATGAGCATATTTTTCACAACAACGATTTTTCTTTTAATTTGTAGATGTAATTACCACTTTCATGGGTAAAAAACAGTGTAATTGATGAGCAGCAATTTTTTGATTTCATATATTATAAATTGGTAATAATTATTATAATTAAGTAAGCAGTCATTTATAGTTTATTGTTACAAATACTCTAGGTTTCTCTAGTGGCCAGTTAAATACATACATTGCTACTGGTCAGCCAATTTATTTTATGATATCCTTTTTATTTTAGGTAGGTACTATTTGATTTTAAAACTTTAATGAAATGTTTATTTCTTTGTGAATTTGGTAAGTACATATGTAGTAAATATAAATGTTTCTATCTATTATAAGTATTTTTTCAAAATTGAATAACTTTTTCATAGTTTGAAACTTAAATTTTTTGTTTGAAGATATTTAGACTGTTTAAAAGTATGCAACAGAATTATTCCCAAATGTATCTGCATAAATTGTTTTAATTCAATCTTAACATACTTATCGGATGAACAGAGTACGGTTTTTATCGGTTAGAGCTTTGATGGAGGGGAAATACCCCAACCCCCAAAAAAGAAGGCAGAGTGTTATACAAAATGCACTTGGATGAGATGGGGAGACCAGGCCATCCCGCTCTAAAGATCGTGCCAGCAAAAAAACGAAGCTTGCCTTGTTTTTTTCTTTTTAAATATGGCTGCGTTGGCCCTGCAGTTTTCTCGAATGGTCGATGGTTTGGGGCCTTGGGGAGCCAAAGGGGAGGATCGGGGAGGGGGGAGCTGCTGTTCTTGTTGGTTTCTGCTGCTGGTGGCGCTGCGTCGCAAATGTGTGTGTGAGTGTATCCGTACCCAGCGGGAAAAAACCTGTGGAAAATATGCTATTTTCCAGTGGTTTCTTCATACAAGCGGAATGTGGAAAATCCCCTTTACCCCTTACAAATCTGCCGTCTCTCCTTTCAAAATACACGGGGGTGACACACAAAAGTAAGGGGTAAAGCGAAAAATCCAGTGGACCTAAAGCTGCTGAATGCAGGGCAAAATCCACTGGATTTTTCCCTTCCCGCTGAACAAAAACCTCCTTCTTTCGGTAAAAACCCACCCCCGAAATCGGTCCGAAATCGTCTATCCCTTCCCTACGCCTGCTAAAAGAAGTAGATTTTCATCTATCCCTACCCCTACGCCTGCTAAAAGAAGGGTATCTACCCAGCGGGAAAGTGAGAAGTAGGTTTTTATTTGACTGGAAAACCTCCTTCTTTTAGCAGGCGTAGGGGTAGGGATAGATGAAAATCTACTTCTTTTAGCAGGCGTAGGGAAGGGATAGACGATTTCGGACCGATTTCGGGGGTGGGTTTTTACCGAAAGAAGGAGGATTTTGTTCAGCGGGAAGGGAAAAATCCAGTGGATTTTGCCCTGCATTCAGCAGCTTTAGGTCCACTGGATTTTTCCCTTTACCAGGGGCGGACGCAGGGGGGTGTCCGGGGGTCCGGACCCCCCAAAATCTCAGACTTTTTCAAATACCCTTACAGCACACGGCCTTTCAACCTTATGAACTACAATTTTTTTGATCGGACCCCCCAAACGAAAAAATTTTTCGACCGGACCCCCCCAAAATTTTTTTCTGCGTCCGCCCCTGCCCTTTACCCCTTACTTTTGTGTGTCACCCCCGTGTATTTTGAAAGGAGAGACGGCAGATTTGTAAGGGGTAAAGGGGATTTTCCACATTCCGCTTGTATGAAGAAACCACTGGAAAATAGCATATTTTCCACAGGTTTTTCCCGCTGGGTATGCATGCTTGTATCAGTATCTGTATCTGCTGGCCGTTTTTCGGTGCGTTGTGTTTGCGTTGTTATCGCTCATTTTCACTTTAATGTAATTTTTTGTGTGCACTCTTTGGAGTTTGCTCTTTTGTGCACACGCTGAGTTGGGGCCGCCATATTTATTTCTGTTCAAAAACAGCACACTTGAAAAATTTCGTTGTATTTTAATTCTAGTAGTTAGTTGTGCTATTAGCATATGTAGTTAATTGATATCACTGTTTAGTATATTGCACTAGATTAATTATAAATATAATAGAACTTTTTACTATTTTTCTAAGCATTTTCATGAATAAATTTAATTAATCAATAAAACACTTTAAGCAAATTGGTATAACTTCTAATTTGTCAAAGTATATTTAATAACTGACAATCAAGAATGTTTAAGTTACCACCATTAAGTCAGCTTCATAATTTTTAATAAAAAGATATACATATCTTTAATGGAAAACTTTAAAAATTAGAAATAAGTTAAAGAAACATATTTCACTTCAGGAATTGCCGATTGTTAAGTAATTTGAAATCTTTCAATAATATCACAAAAGCTGGTGCAATTATTGTAATAAAATATCTGAATGCTTTTTCTCAGTGCAGCAATAAACGCACTAAAAAGATGCGTGCCGTTGTTGTTTCTGTATGCGAAAGTCAATGAACTTTTTCGGTGCTGTCTACGCATTTTTTCGGCTCCGCTTGTTTGCGATAACTATTTGGGTGCATTTTATTGTGTATTTTGTACTTTTTTCGACAGCGGATACACACACACGCCCGGGGGGAGCAAAACTGAAATTATTTCGTTGGGAGGGGAAATAGTTTCCTTATCGCTGGCACCCCACAGTAAAAATCACAATCAACGCCCGCTTTTGGCGATTTTCTTGACTTTCCTCGAGCAGCAACCTTTGACCCGCAGCTCTCACAATTGGCAAGTAAAAAAGCGGAAAACTCAATTGGAAAATCCGCATTCTGCTGGTGCTGGCGAAAAACTATTTTCACACACTCGCAACCGCAGATTAAATTATGATCTATTTGCTTCAAGGGAAAAGTGATGCAAATATTTGGGTTTCCATGCAAGTGCATCCATCTCTGGAGATCAATCAATCTGGAAACCCTTTCTTCGGCCTGGGAAATCAAGAAAAAACTCACCCACGCAGAAATCGAGTACTTTACCTTTCCCTGATTTCTTCCCTGCCCCTCGGCTGATTATCCATTCACCCCATTTTGTGCACCTGGCAAGTGCGCAGTTGTGTTTTTTTTTTTTTTTAAGAGTGCGTAAAATGTGCAGACAGGACAATCAGGAGCAGCAATCTGGAGCAGAGGGAAATTGAGAAATTTATTGTCGCCGGCGAGACCGAAAAGTCATCATTAAACGCAATGTTGCAGGTCCGGCCAAAAGATCTCCATCTCCATCCCATCTCGATCTCCACCTCCATCTTAACCATCCGGGGACTACCTGCTGCGAGATTTACGTTTATGCATTTCATTTTGTCGTTTTGTTCGTTCGTTTTTCGATCGTTTTTTGGCCATAAAACAGGTTCAGGTTCGGGCCAGACTCTTACTTTATCAGCCGCTGCAGATCGCTGCACATTTGAAATGTGCATCCCAATCCCGACTTTTATTCCCATTCCAATTCCCAGTTTCAACCCAATCCCGATTCCGATCCCGATCCCGGTCCCATTAACATTTCCAATCGCCGTCTCACTCCGTCCGCGATTCAACACGCCTACAAGTTGTCAACCCATAAGAAGTCACAAATACACTGGGAACAATCTAAGAAAATTAACGAAACTGTTACGTAAATTTACATGCTCTATTTATTAGTACAATAATAAGCTGCATACTTATACCGGAATTAAAACTACTATTTAATGTTGCCTTTTTACATATTGTAAACTTTTGTAGATTATAATTTGCCTTATGGTAATCCAGACTTTTGTAGATTAATATTTGCCTTATCGTAACCAAACAAAATCTCGATTTATAACCTTGTAGTTGTATAAACTAATTTTAAAGCATCCATTTAGTACATATAACATACTAATAAAACTTTAAACTTATTTTTTCAGAATTTCAGACTGAATCTAGTTTTCAATTTTTGTGCTAGTGTATGAAATCAATCGAAGAGGACGGGGGGCAAGGGTTCGCGGCGAGGTCAGGCCTTAAACTTATAGCCATACTCGGCAAATGCACAAAGTGTGTAATCCCCAACCCCGACGATATGGAATCTGGTCGGGCGGACTGACTTTCGGCCGATGCCATGATGCTGGGCCAAGAAAACCATTTTCACGACTCCGATGATCGTTTTTTATTTTGTTGTTGTTGCTTTTGGTTTTTTGCGGCCTCTTTTTTTGGTAGTAGTGGGGCCAAAAACCTGCACAGGTAGTCCAGCTAACAGCTCTTAACCCGATTTTCCTCATCGCGTAATGCGTTTTTCGGTCTCGGACACGGGCTTTGAGAAAAATGTTTCATTTTGAGGTTTTTGCTTTCCTCCAAGCCTTCTTTGATTGCAGTTTGGGGCAGCTTCACATGGCTTAATTGGTTAGAAAAAGGGGGCGGGGAGGTGGTGGTTTTGTGTTTTGGTGTCTTGGGGGCGGGGCAGCGTCTTGGTCGATTGGCGTTTTGGGCCGTCAGCGTCATCGGCCATTGCACCGCATGCAGATGCGTTTTTGGTGCCCCAAAGTCAATGACTCTTGAGGCATTTTCCGTGGGCCCCAAATATCCGCTTGACAGATTTACACACGAACGGTTATAAAGGCACAGAACTAAATTGGTTTATTTTAATTAATTAAAATGTAGTGTTTGGTAATATTGTAAAAAGGTTATTATCGGTGTTTTCATAACTTATTTTAAAGCGGAAAACTTTATTTAAGTATAATAATTTATTGCTAATATTGTTTTAAGGTAAATTAAAGGAAATTATATTAGGTATTGCACAGAACTAAATTTGTAAATTCAAAATGTTTAACAAAGTTTTTGTTAATATTGTAAACAGATTATTATCTAATTCTTTTAGAGCGTATAACTCTTTATAAATTTGTTATTGCTAACATTGCTAATATGTTTGTAAAACTTCCACCAATATCGCAGCTTTAAAATGTTTTAAGTTCATATGGGTTTTGTGGATATTATCTATTTCTTTATTTGCAATAAGTGTCAGGGAAGTTAAACCATGGATTGATTTAAGAGTTTCGCCTGGGAAAGCGGCGAAATGCAAACCGCCATAACCAAACGCATCGCTGATTAGGATTCATGGGTGATCTGATAGCACCAGCATGGCTTTTCGGTAAGGTAAACAACCCTTTTTCCGAGAGCTGCTCCCAAGAGCTCCTCTTGGCTGGGAAAAGAAACGACCTTCCCGCTGACCCTCATCCTCTGATGGATCATAATTAATGTCAAATAATTGGCGGAAATTTGTTTGCCATTTAATTGTTGGACTTTCACCACTCACGAAGCACGCTTCCCCCGACTCTTTAGCATTTCCAATTTATTTTCACAATTTCTCAATCAATTCCCTTTATTGACCAAGATGCGGGCGCCGCGAGCTAAATTGGTGAATTGCAATTGCAACACTTTGTAGTCTTCGGACTTTGCGTTTTCCCACTTTTCCAGCGGGTCATTGACTCCCCGTTTCATTTGGGTTTTTATTTCGGAAGCGGCGCGAATAAAATAAGCGAGGGAATAGCTTTTCCGCCATTCACAACGGAAATCCATAAATAGTGCGTGTGTGTGGGTGTCCCGCTCCCACCCAAAAGAAAAACACGGAAAAGTAAATAAATCCCAGACAACCTGCATCTTTTTGGCCGCGATCGCTATCACCGATCGCCTTTGTCCTTTGGCCAGTATTCGCGGCGTTCCCACAGAAATGGATTCCTTTGTTCGCATACATATATTTTTATATCAAAATCGAAATCAGAAAAAAAAAAGTCAGGGTCGCAACAATAGGGTCCAAAAGAGGCAGCCAAAGTCAGAAATCGCTTAAGGTTAACACATCGCAAACAATGAAGGAAAATCGGGGAGCGGGACAAGTGTCGCGACCACGACGAGGGTTAAAGAAAATGGAAAACCTGTTTGTATCATCTCGTATTTTGTATCTCTTCTAGGCTGGACAGCCTGTACCTGTTGCCCCTTCAACGTTCAACGTGTTCCCTGTTTCGATTCCAAGCCCTATCCTAATTGAGGGTTGGAGCTGAGTTTCCACGCCATCCACGGATGCTGCTGAGTCAGCGGCAATTGCTAAAAAATAAATAACATCAAATCGAGAATCGCCGAGGGATCCTGAGAGCTGCAAGATCGCGTAAGCATCGGGGATCGAACAATTAACAACTGCAGGTCTGCAGGTGCCGAAGACAAACAGCAAAAGTCACATACTCCAAAACAGACGGCGCACAATGGCCACAAAAAGTCAGTAAGAAAAACATTAGCCAAAGGCAAGGGAAAAGGCAATGGGAAAAGGAAAATATAAAAGTCTGTGGGGGAAGGGAAGGGGGGAAAAAGGTCCGAGGAAAACACACAAAGAGGAAAACTCGGCGACGGGACATGCGAGTGCACATTTTCGTCTATAAAATTTATTCGCATTAATCGCCGTCAGAGATAAAATTAACGAAAGAATGGACAAGGACGTGGACGTTTGGCCGGGGTGAGAGGTCAGGGGTTCGGAGAGGGGGAGGGGATTGGGATCGAGTCCTGGGATGATAAGGCAACATTGACACCTTGGCCAAGCAGGTAGAACCTGCTATTGCCGGGCATCCTGCGTTCCACGATTGCGTGAGTCGCCTTTTTGTGAGTGCCTCGTTCTAAGGAGCAACAAATTCGCAGTCTGGGAAGAGTCCTTAGTCAAGGATATAGGACGTCGATAGCAGAACTGTACCAAGGAACAAGCAGGGAAGCAAAAAAAGGAGAAAGGGGGATTATATTAAGAGCATTATCGAGCATTATATTTTCGAGTATTATAATTATATTAATAAATGTCATATAAAAGTAGTCCTAGTTGAATTCCAATTGTAATTGTAATTGCAATTAGATTGCAAAATAACTGAATATTTAAACTGGTTATCTATGAAAATACTAAGGATTCTTAATATGTGCTGTGGCAAAAACCTGATATGACATTAATCACAAGTAGAAAATGAAAACGTACTTATCCTATACTCAATTTTAAGAAATTCATTTGATATACAATTTTAAAATCCAAATAGGATGAAATGTAACCATACCTTTTAAGCCCTTATTTATTAATTTGCATTATTGATTCGGATTACAGTGATGACCTCCATTTTGTACGGATTTTCCGGAGAGTGCTCCCGTTTCTATTTCCGTAGTGGGCCTGTCCCATCGCGGTGGTTCGGAGATGTGGCATCGGGGGTCTGTCCTTCGGTGGGTGGTTGGGTGGTTGGGGGGTTGGGCGGTAAGGTCGGCGGATGAGGAGGCAGCACCGCAAAGTGGAATGAAGCGTATGCGTGTGTAATTAAGTGCGCAAAAAGACGCAGGAGACTGTCGAAGTGGGCGTATATTTGTATTTATGGGACACACTTACATATGTATGCAAATAGGAAAACCATGTTGTTGTTGTTGTTGGTTTTGTTGTTGTTGCTCTCCTCGAAGGACGTCGGTGGTGGGTGGTTGGGTGTGTGTGTGTGTGCGTAAGCGGGTGGGGGGGTGATAAAAATGTTGATGTAAATTGCAAAAAGCAGTTTTTATGTCCCATTGCCACATTTTCGGAGGAGGTGGAGTGAGAAAGCTGAAAGCCTGTGAAGTGGTGCAAAATATTAGATATTTTTAGTGGATGGGGACTGTCAGTTGGTGGGCGGTATGGGTGGTTGGTACTTCGCCTGTTTGCTTTGATGTGCCATTGTTTGCTTTAGTTTTTATTTCTTCAATATCCCAATTTCACATTATCCAGTCTTTAATTGACGCACTGCTTTCTAGGTTAAAAGATGGGGAAAAATTAAGGAGAATTCAAAATGCATAGCAACTTTGTATATTTAATAACATGTGTTGGTCTTCCAAAACAATTAATAAATTTTAAAAATTTGTAATGTTGGTAATCGATATGTATTACCTTATCCAATTTTTTTTAACACTTTTAAGCAGTGTTGGTCAAATGGTAGTAGGCAGTACGTAAATTTAATCTGACAGCATGACAAACAGGGGGAAATATGCATTTATTTTTCAGCTTAAAAATTTAGACCGAAAAAAAAAGGCTAAAAGTTTAACGCTTTTAAAAACGAGCGAATTTCGAGGTTTTTTTTATAGAAATCTGATATATAACTGTAGGTAGAATCCAAAAGAATCCTTAAAACCTGTGATTTTCGGTTTGATTTTATTGAAAACATTAGCAGAATGGTGAGTAAAACACACAATTTTTAGGAGACTGCCGGTCAGAAAAATTCTTTCAGCAGGCCTGTCCCAAGTCACTTTCCGTGAAATTAAAGCTACCGAATCGCGTCCAACCGGAGGTAGTTCCCCAACCCGGAAAAGCAGGCCAGTACACCAATAAACTGCACTATTTCAAAAAGCATCTGCTGGATGAACTGCCCAAAAAGAAGTTTGCCTTAGACTTTTTGGAGCCAGTGGATTCGGAGGCACTGAAGGTACCAACATATTACACTGTAATTAATCGGCCCATGGATGCGGGAACGATTTTGAAAAGAGTTCAAAACAACTATTATCGAGGAGCAGAGGAGGCGATTTCTGACTTTCGGCTTATCATTCGAAATTGTTTCATGTTCAATCGACCGGGCGACCTTGTTTACCGAAAGGGTCAAATGCTGGAGAAATTTTTCCTAAAGAAAATCAAAAGTATGCCAAGTGGTCCCGAACTGCCGTGCAACAAGGATCCAAATTCAGTGGGAAAGCCGAGAGCTTATAGCAAAAACATGTCCACCTCCGCCAACATGGAACGAATGTGCCGCGATCTTCTGAAGAAGCTGCAGAATTTCACCAATCAAACGGATGCCACAGCCAGGAATTTCTTCAATTCGAAGTGGGATTCGTTGGTCAAAAAACTGGACAAGCACTACTTCAAGTCTTTCGAGGAGTTTCGTTCGCATGTGGATGGGGTTTTCAGAAAGTACCACGATCCGGGAAAGATGATCTACGAAAGAGCCTTCGATCAGCCGGGTTCTTGGTCGACTTCCATGAATGCTGTTCCATCTTCTGGTTTGGATGAAACGGATCTGAATGAGCTACTAATGGCTGCCAAGTTGGCAGAAAATAGTCTGGTGCACTTCCAACAAGAACCTTCGAGGGCCAAAGTTCTAATCGAGGCTTTTTGTGCCAGCATAACCAAGGTGAAGCAAAAACTGGAGGCAGCTAGACCAGTTTCTATGAAGGAATCTCTTAGGAAGCAACAGAGATTGAGTCCAATTCAGGAAGAGGATTTGGAGGAAGGAGAACGCAAGCCAGCTTTGGAGTTGCTAAAACCCAGCGAGGTGGATACCTTACTGGAAGTTGGTTGGGAATCCACGGATGACGAGGGTAATGAAGCTCCATCAGAGGAAGTGAACGATTCCGAACGACTGGCTATCCAGAAACTCTTCGCCAAACTTCCTTCAACGGCGATGAGGGAAATTGTTCATTTGGTCCAGCAAACCGAAGGAATATCCTCGGAAAATTGTGGCGACCTAAGTTTCGATGTCAAGGGATTTTCACCGGACACTTTGGTCCTAATGAAACGAGCCGTGGCCAAAGCAATGAGAGCACACAGCAAAGTGAATCTCAAGGATATGCAGCCTTCGGAAAAGGAAGGACTTCAGCGCACACTGCAATCTCAGTTGATGGACATAACCAGGATGTTAAGCACGAATCGTCGCAAAAATCCTGCTATCTTAAAGAATACAACCAATATCAACGTAGTGCGAAAAAAGCCAGCTGCTCCTCTAATCGCCAAATTGAAGCAACAACCGGCAGGACTTGGGGGTAAATCAATGGGAGGATGTGTCGGTGAAAGTCACAATCTGAGTGACAGCAGTGACGATTCCTCAGGACCTTCAAGTCCACAAAGACAGCGACCAAATGAAGCTATCGGTGGTCCTGCTCAGATGAGAAACACCGGAAAGAAGAGAACTCATCCGCAGAAGAGAGTCCAAGTTGGCCAAAAAGTCATGGTCGTCGAAGGTCTCAAGATGAGCAGCAGCAGCAGCAGCAGCAGCAGCGCGTCTGGTGAAGCATCCAAATCAGGGAACAGCTCCAGTAGTTCCAGTTCGAGTTCCAGCCCAGGCTCGAGTTCCAGTTCCAGTTCGAGTTCGAGCAGCAGCTCCAGTTCCAGCAGCGATTCCTCCGACAACGAACAGGAAGGAGGTCCTGGTGGTAAAGGCAACACGGGAAAAGTCGTTTCTGCATAGGATTCTTTAGAAGCTTGTACTTAAGATTACGCTATTATTTTACTTTACCTACTTATATACTTATACTGATACTTATATAATAAAACAACTTTTTGTTGAAGGTATTTTAGTCCTATAATATTAATTAAGTAATTAACCTAATTTTACCCAGATTTTAAAGTGGCATAATTTCCAAAAAATAGATTTGTTAAAAATTTACCAAAATTACAATTCAAATAATATAAAAATACATACTAATCGTGGATTTTAGTTTCTTCTATCACCTATCAAGACAAAAAGAAAAACTAATTTATTTATAAAGGGGGTTTTTCTTTTAACTTTGCTATAAGAAAAGTCATTGACACATAGTGAAAAGAAAAACCAAGGATGGGAAAGGGGAATTGCGATCAGAGATCAGTGATTCAGGATCCAGCGATCTCTTCTGTCTTTGCAACGATCACGTAGCCGGCAAAATTTTCACGAAAAATTATGCAAATTTTCCAACTTTCTCACGATCGCAGCGAAAAAAAGGAGCGAGGAAGGATGCTCGCAGTACCTGACACCCAGCAGTCAAATTAGAGCGGAGATCACGCAGATCTCGCATCTCGCGGCGGAAGGAGTTTTCCACAAACAGGGGAAATTTGCATAAGATTTTCACTTGGCAAATACAAAAAAGGGTGAGGATGCACTCTCATTTGCATAAGAAGCCTCGTTCGACTTGCGAAAACTGCCAAAAGGACGGAGATGCAAACGAAAGTGAAAATGGGAATGAAAAAGGAAAATAGGGAAACTGTGGAAAATGCCACAGACAGGGGTTAATTACGCTCACAGTGGACGGCGCCTCGTTCACAGCAGCATGCCGACACGCTCGCACACCTGAGTCCTTCGCTGCCGAGTCCTTCGTCCTACCGCCTGGCAGCAGGGGGTTGAAAAGGGACAGCACTAGCGTCGCTCATTTGCATAAGGTCCACATGAGATGTGCATGCAATTTACTCGCCCAAAAAAATATTATGTAAATCACCCGTGCAAAAAGGAGACTTTCTCACGCTCCTCGCTCAACTCCTTCGGCGATGTCCTGGCTTTGGAGGCTCGGAGTTCCTAAGTGATCAACGATCCTGGGGTGCGGTGTTTGGGTTTCCGCACACCGGGCAACAAATCAATTTTGATCGATTTTAATTTAGCCTTCGATTGATTTTGTCATTTGCATATTCTAGCAATCCCTGTTTTCGTCCTGATTATTATGCAAATGCTGATCCGGGGACTTCCTTGACTTAGGACCCAAGAAACTAATGGACTTTTCTTTTAAAGGGTTTGACATACATTTTAGCAAGGGTTTTGATTTATGCGAAATATTTTAAGAAAGATATTTCTTTGATCTAAGTTACAACAGAGATTATTTAAAACAAGTACTTAACAAAGAAAACACTTTTTTAAGAACATGTATCGAAATATAAATTTGCACTAGATTTTTTAATAAGGCTGTTCATGAATTTTCAACGAAATATTTGGAAAGCTTTTGGTTTCGAGGTTTGTTCAATTATTAAGAGGGTCCCTATTTTTTTTAGGCTAACGGTAAAGCAATCTACTAAATTCTGTATTTAGAATTTATTTTAAAACTACTCGTCCCACAACCTTATTGGCCACACTATATATTTACTACTATTTAGTTTCCTGGTCATTTTTGCACAATTTTCGCACATGATTCGCTAGCCGGGAAATCCCTCCCCAAACTGAACCACCACCACACTGCAGACAACCCCTAAAGTCCTGGAAAACTTGCAAAATCGCCAATGCGATTCGCCAAAAAACCAATCGAGGAGTCAATGCATGTTGCAAAAATCGCGTATAGCAGCCAATGCCATTCATTTCCACTCCCTTTTTCCAGGAGCCACCACCGCGGGCAGAGGGAATTTTCCCCCCGGAAGCAGGATATGAACTTTGATGTTGCCACTACCAAAGGCGGACCATAAAAAAATCCGCAAAACGAGGGTTGTCTCTCGTAAAGTACTTATCGAAAACACCCCAAACACACACCCTCCCTCCGAATCGCACGAACACACACGCAGTGTGCATTATTAAAAGTGGATTGTGCGTGTGTGCGAGTGTGCGAGTGTCTTGTATCTGGCAATTTTGCAGCAACAACAAAGAGCCCTTCGGCCACATGCAAATTTTTTGTAGCAATCGCCCAGGGGTTGGAAACCGAACGACAAAAAAAAAAACCGGAAAATAAAGCCAAAGCTGCAGCAGACTTCGCCCAGACGTGGAAACCTTACAGTATTACATATAAATATATATAGATATATGTATATACATATATTTATATCACCAACCCCCCAGATGGCCCTTCTGCGATTCTTGCCGCTGTTGTTTATGCTAAAAAGCGTTAAAAATGCGACAGGAGCTTCAGCATTTCCTGTAATATTGTCCTGCTCTATTTTGCCTTTTCGCGTTGCGGTTTCCAGGGGTGGCCATTTTTTTCCTGAGATTAACTGTCGTGGCATCGGGAATTTCCTCCTGTTCAAAATAATTGAACAATTCCTGGGAGCACTGCTTAGGGGGAAATCCATTTAAGTCTTAGTTGTCCTTACAGTTTTTGCGGGGAAACCAATTTTAATACTTCTTAATATCGATTCGAACAATAAAGAATTGGACTAAAAGATTTAAGTTACCATGGAGCTACTTTTTTCATAATGCAAGTAAATTTTGGTAAATTATAAATATGTAATCCGAAATAAATCTCATCATTAATCAAACAAATTATTAATCCTCTTTTGAATACTTTTTAAGCAATATCGTACTTAGGTTTTTAATTTACATTAGATTCCCTTTTCTTTCAGTGAACGATCTCTTTAGCAGGGAAAATGTGAAAATGTTCTAGCATTGGGGACTAGACAGACTTTTCTTATCGCACTTGGATCTGCAACTGTCACTTTTCATATGGAAACACGCGGAGAAACCAGAGAATAAGACAGGGAAAACGTGATGTCTGTAAACACCCAGGACAAACATTCGCCGCTATCATATTTGGCATAAATTACACGCCGAACGCCATTTCCAGCGACCCTTAGAAGTGCGGGTGTTTTGGGGAAGGGAAGGGAAATGTATCCCTCGGATTCGTTTTCAGTTTTTTTTTTTTATGCGACATAAACAACGCCCGAAGAATGGGAATATCGAAGAATGCAGCGAAAATGAAAATAGATATACGCGCACTCGTCGCGCTTCACACGCGCAGGAATCGCTCTTCTCGGCTCGAAAAGGATCCGATTACAAAAGATGTCTGGGAACTTTGACTCGAAACAAAGCAACATGCATTCCAAAAAATCTAGAATACAAAAAAAAACGAATAACCAAACAAAAAACTGTTTGAATTTGTCGCATTTTGAGGGCATTGTTTTCAGAAAGGACAGCGTGTGTCAGTCGCTCGAATCGCTCGAGGCTATCGATCCTGGTTTCACTTTCGTTCGCAGATCCTTGTTGGCATTGTATTGAATAGTGGTCCGCCGAGCGTGTGCCAGAGCGAGAGGGAGCATCGCTGACCAATGTCCTGACTTGTTGACCTCTTGCGGGCAAATTAGCCACACTGCATAATTAGATTGCCCATAGAGGATGATGATCAAACTAATTGGATATTGATGCGTATAGGGTTCGATAAAATGCAATTTTATAGGAACTCAAAATTTGTTTGCCTTTAAGGGTGGTAAGAAAAATGATTACTAATATAACTTATGTGAAATGTAAACGATTAAATTCAATAAGGTACTTTATTGGCCAATGTTATTTAACAGAATAAAATATAGAATAAGAATGTAAACAGTATTATATTTCTTTATTTAATTACATGAAATGTATTTTTAAATAGTTGTACATTTTTTCACAAAATTAACATTTAATTAGAAATCATGGTGATCGATCAACTAAAGTGCATTTATGTGAAATGTGTATCCCTTTCAAGGTTCGATGAACGCCGTGCTGTCGTGGCAATTATGCAATCTGTGGTGGCGTGGCCAGCATTTGAATTCCGAATGCCACGATCGTAGCCAAAATCGTGATGTGGCTCCAGTTTTGTTGGCGTAGGGCCGCCGATCCCCGAAACCCAAAAATATAAAAACAAAAAAAAAACAACAACGAAAACCACGCGAGGCATGCAACAAATGCATGCGTGTGTGTGTGTGTATCTGTGCATCCACAACTTCGAGTATCTTGTGTTTTTACCAATTTCCCCTTCTTCTTGGAAAGTCAAGATGGCGACCTCGCTATCTTTTCCCCCTCGCCTCCCCCTATTCTTCTTTTTCTTCTTCTTTGCTTACTTTGTTGTCGTTCTTCTTTGGCGTTTTGTTGACATTACCAAAAATGTTTTATCGCGCTGTCGCTGCAGTTGTTCCCGTCTCTCTCTTTTCCCTACTTCCTTCTCTTTCGCTTGCACATGTGCAACGCATTTTCCCAAAAATTAAATGCAACATTGCGTTGCCGCGGCTCAATTGCGTGGTTAATGCTAATTATTTGTTATTCCACAGGCGAGAAGCGGCGGAAAATGCAGGAAAACGGGAAAACAGAAGTGGAAAACACACAAGCATATATTTTTGGAAGACACGCACATGGGACGTGCAATTGCTGGCGATTTCCGGCCGCACAGCGCTGAAAAAATAATAAAAATGAAAATAGATAGAGCTGACTGTACCGGAGAACACAGTTTAAATTGGCTATAATGACCTTCAGTGGTTGGAACAGTATGCACTTCAGAAACTACATTAATTACAGGTCTACAGAAATTGTTTGTGCCAATTGGAATATTTAATGATATGGTGACCATATTTCAGTTTTATTTTTGATGTTCAAGAACCTTTTTTGGTGGAATTTTATTTGTTTGGATTTATTGTTTTGTCTTTAGTAAGAGAGTATATACATTATCATAAAAATACTCATAGAGTTATTTAGCTTAAGTAAGGTATTTTTTTGTAAATGTAAAAAAATGTCTCGAGGAAATACATATAAAAAATTAATAATTAAGAGGTATTGATTGACTTATCGCAGACATCGTATAAATGCAAATAAAAAAACCACAAAGGGGTTAAACAGTTTGGCAATTCATCGACTCGAATTGTCATTAGACATTGAGTGATAGTAA